AAACACAGGAATAAAAGTCCAGCTACAGGGGCTCCTGGGTGGCTCAGTTGGTTAAGCAACCAACTCTTGATTTCGGCTCAGGTCGTGATCTCAGTTCGTGGGTTTGAGCCCCGGGTTGGGCTCTGCACTGACAGCACAGAGCCTGCTTAGGATTCTGTCTCCACCTCTCTCTGCCCCTCTCCCCCTTGAAAATAAATAAATAAACTTAAAAAGAAAAAAAGAAAGAAAGAAAGAAAGGAAGAAAGGAAGGAAGGAAGGAAGGAAGGAAGGAAGGAAGGAAGGAAGGAAGGAAGGAAGGAAGGAAGAAAAGCAAGCTACAAGCCAAAGGTAGAGGACACTACCTGTCACCAGTACAATCAGGAGAAAGGAATTTAAATTTCAAATTAGCCTCAATCTTAGTAGCAGGTCTTTAGCTCTCTCCATGAATCTAAGCAATGCAAAATCTTAAACCTAAGTAATTCAAACTACTAGGATTAAAGATCCTTGAGCAGATCAGTTTTCCTTCAGAGCCCACAACTGCTCAAGACAGACTCTCATTCCTTAAAGGTCTACTGACCAACTGCTTGTCTTCCATACCTCGATATAACAAAAACTTCAGACACTTACCTGTTTAATTCCTACTTATCCCAGAAGTGAAACCCAATGACACACTAACGTACAGTGTCATTTCCTAGCCCTACTGAGTCTTCACAATAACTCACTGCTGCTTAAACCACACAGGTGAAAGTAATCGTTGTAAGGGTACGTAATAGACAACGTTTATTAGAAGTATCATATTGAGAGCCACAAAAACGTTCATGGCTTTGGCCAAACAATATCACTTACAGGATTCAATACTGTAAAAATACTTCAAAAAATGAAGAAAAAATATGCGCACAAAGCTGTTCACAGAACCATAACTCATAAGAATGAAACACTGGAAACAATTTAAATGTTAAAAAACAGGGACATGGTTAAGTAAACTGACTTGATGGGTCATACAGTTATTAAATAGGACTGCTATGAAAAATGCAAAGCAAAATGGAAACAGATTATGAAAAAGGTTAACATGCTGGCTTCCAAAGTGTATGCATAAAACTGACACATTTTATGTTACATTACATGTATGTACTGTATGCTATTCCTCACTTCAAACGCTTTTTTAAAAAGCATACGTAGGTGGAATTAAAGTGTTTTTAATTATTTAGAAAATAAAAAATAAGGGACGCGTGGGTGGCACAGTCAGTTTAGCGTCCAACTTTTGATTTCACCTCAGGTCATGATCCCAGGCTCATGGGATTAAGCCCCAGGTCTGGCTCCTCGCTGAGCATGGAGCCTGCTCAAGATTCTCTCTCTCACTCTCTCTCCTCCCAACCCCACCCCCTCCCCAACTTGTGCTCTTAAAAAAAAAAAGAGAGCGAAAGAGAAAAGAAAAATAAAAAAATAAAATAAAAAGCCTAAGCAGGTCATATATGCAATAATGTCATTTTACGCCATTATTGACCCAAAATAAAGAGGTTCACAAGTGTTGACAAGGATATGAATTCAAAGGAATCCTTACACATTGCCAGTGGGATTGTAGAATTGTCCAGGAAAACAATCTGGCACTATCTTGTAAAGATAAACACGTGTGTACCCCGTGGCCCAGTAACCCGCTCCTAAGTATCTCCGAGAAATTCTTTCACATGTGCACCAAGAAACGTTGCACACGACAGCAAAACACCATAAACAACCCACATGTTCAACAGGAAAATGGATAAATCTGTGCTCCACAAAACGAAATACAACAGTAAAATTAAACAACCGTGTAACAACCCGAATGTATCTAACTAAATGACAATATGAAAATGAAAAAACGGGGCACCTGGGCGGTTCAGTCGGTTAAGCGTCTGACTTCGACTCAGGTCACGATCACACAGTTCGTGAGTTCGAGCCCCACATCAGGCTCTGCACTGATGTGCGGAGCCTGCTTGGGATCTTCTCTCTCTCGCTCTCTCTCTGTGCCCCTCCCCCACACACTTTAGCTCTCTCAAACTTTAAAAATAAATAAATAAATAAATAAATAAGAAAATGAAAAAAAAAGCAAGTCACAGAACATTAAATACAGTTTAATACCATTTTTATAAAGATCAAAACAAATGAAACAAAAGATATTATACGGAAACTTTTTTTTTTTAAGGGACTAGAAGATCCAAGAATCAGGAGAGCAGTTACCTAAGGAGTTGACAGAGGAGTGAGATGGGGAAGGAACATGTACAACGTTAGCAATGTTTTCATTTTTATTTTGGTGGCAGGTCATAAAGGTTCATTTTATTATCATACTTTGAAACTTACATGCTACAGATATTCTTTTAGGTGTGTCAAATAATAAATCTGTTTTAAAAGTTTCTAAAGAGAGGGGGAAAAAAGGTTATACACTCTGATTACAATCATGGAAACATGCACAGGGAGAAACGAGAAAACAATGAAAACAGATTAAAACATACCTCGGGTGTACCTTGGTAAAACTGATTCTTTTTTTCCACATTCTCTACATGTTGACTGTGCTTTTGTATTTTTAAAAAATATATATTCTCTCAAAGATACACTGTTTCCAGGGAGAAAAACTGAGTGGTTGAGGAAAAGTAATTGAGAAGGAGACTTTTCTCCAAATGTCCTTTAACTTTGATTCTGTACTAAATCAATATGTAACATACTCAAAAAATTTAAATAATTTAAAATTTTTTTAATGTTTATTTGTGACAGAAAGCGAGAGAGAGTTCGAGCAGGGGAAGGACGGGGCGGGGTGGGGGGGAGGGACAGAAGATCTGAAGCAGGTTCGACACTGACAGCAGAGAGCCCAATGAGGGACTGGAACTCACGAAACACGAGATCATGGCCTGAGCTAAAATCAAGAGTTGGACACTTAACCGACTGAGCCACCCAGGTGCCCCTTTAAAATAAAAATTTTTTTAAATTAACAACTCAGGAAACAATAGATGCTGGCGAGGATGCGGAGAAAAGGGAACACTTCTGCACTGTTGGTGAGAATGCAAACGGATGCAGCCGCTCTGGAGAACGGTATGGAGGTTCCTCAAAAAATTAAAAGTAGAGATACCCTACGACCCAGCAATTGCACTACTAGGTATTTATCCAAAGGATACAAAACTGCTGATTCGAAGGGACACATATGCCCCAATGTTTAGAGGAGCACTATTAACAATAGCCAAATTATGGAAAGAGCCCAAATACACACACACACACACACACACACACACACACACACACACACACACACACACACACTGGAATATTACTCAGCGATGAAAAAGAATGAAATCTTGCCATTTGCAACAATGTGGATGGAACTAAAGTGTATTATGCTAAGCAAAATAGTCAGACAAAGATAAATATTACATGATTTTTACTCGTGGAATTTAAGAAACAAAACAGATGAAGACAGGGGAAGGGAAGGAAAAATAAGATAAAAACAGAGAAGGAGGCAAACCATAGGAGACTCTTAAATACAGAGAACAAACTGAGGGTTGCTGGAGGGGTGCTGAGTGGGGGGATGGGCTAAATGGGTTATGGGCATTAAGGAGGGCACTCACTGGGATGAGCACTGGGTATTCTTTGTAGGTGATGAATCACTAAATTCTACTCCTGAAACCATTATTACACTATATGTTAGCTAACTTGCATCCAAAGAAAATTTAAAAAAATAAAATTAAAAAATAACAAAAATAACAAAATAAAAAATTTTAAATGTTGTCACTATGAAGATAGTATCTATTTATTTAATTATAATCTTTGACCTAATGAAGTTCAAAAAATAAATAAGTTTTGGGGCACCTGGGTGGCTCTCAGTCGGTTAAGTGTCCGACTCTTGGTTTCGGCTCAGGTCACGATCTCACAATTTGTGGAATCGGGCTGGGCGTCAGGCTCTGTGCTGACAACACAGAGCCTGCTTGGGATTCTCTCTCTCCTTCTCTCTGCCCCTCCCCCACTCGCACACATGCTCTCGCTCTCTCTCTCTCAAAGTAAATAAATAATTTTTTAAAAATAATAAACAAAGTTTTACAAAGGACTACATTATAATCATGTTCTGCGGTTCCCAAACTCTACGCCAAGACACCATAAGACGCTGCCACATAGTCCCATGTGCGCTTGCCAGGACGTTTAAAATTTTTCAGGGAAACACATCATCTGTTGGACACTGCACATACTAGACTAGTTCACATTCAGCGTTAGATCATGCTAGATTCCTTTCTATTATGTCACATCTTTACAAAGCTGGGTCTTCAGCACTTGCTGTGATAAAAAGCCAGTGCCACGAGACAAAGGATGTGGGACAGGAAATGAAGGCTGCCATGTCCAGCCTGGTTCCAAGTCTGAGAAGCTGCACAGTGCCCAAGGGGCACGTCCATCCCTACTAGCAAGTAATTTATCTACGAATGAAATAAAAATATTAGTCTTTCACTTACGTGTTATTTTTTTAAGTAGCTACTAAGTTGTTAGGACATGCGTACTTACTAAGTTGTTTAGACTTAATTATTTTTTAAATGCAAAGACCATTTGGTGTGTCTTTTGGCTTAGGACGTGCAGTGAAAATATTTCCAAGACACTAAGAGAACTATGAACTCAGAAGTTGGGAACCTCTAATCTCGTTGGGAAAAAACTCTCTTCATGTAACAGATATGTTCTTTGGAAACACTTTCCAAGAGAAGTATCCCAACTAAAGTACTAAAAGGGACCAGAAGTCTTAAGTGTTAGCCATAAATTTCGTTTATCTTCTTTAGAGGACGCTTAAGCTAAGCCTTAAAAGTCATTAAAACACGGAACCTTGCTGAAGAAATATAAGCTCTCCAATTACAGTAAGATTTCTGTAGACAATCGGCAGCATGGAGGACACTAGAAAGCATAAAATGACCCAAATACCTTCCCTTTTTTCAGTGAAATTTTCCAGACTTCTCTCTAGAGGCTTAAAAGTTCTATCGATCGGTCAAACTGGAAAAGCAACGTGGAGAAATGAGCCTTCCTACCGTCTGCCCCTCAATAGCAGCTCGCTGGCGTCCTAAGACATCTTGCAGCTGAGTGAAATGCTGAATGAAGGCCACCACCTCCGCCTGAAAACGCTGCGTGTGCACATACTGTACGGAGGCCATCTGGAGGCTCACTCGAATGTCGTGTTCCCTCCGGAGCAGAGGGTCGGGCCGTCCATATCTGGGAATAAGAGCAAAAATGTGACTTGACAGCAAGATACAAGTTAGTATTGGAAGAAAACAGGCTCAGTTAGGGATTATCCTAGCAAACAGCTTTAACTATGAGAATGCGAATCTGCAACCAGGTTTGACAAAGCAAACTCCAGTAATTACTCCCTCTCTAAGCTGCCACAATGTGTGGAGGATGTTAAATGAGAGTCTGGTATGATGACCAAGGCCATGAACAGGTAGGCAGCTCTGGTGTTAAACTCTTGATTCCAGAACTCACGCAGAAGCCACCTGTGGCTCCACCGGGGCCCCTTTCCCTGCCTTTAGGGAAAGGGGATTATTCCTCCTCAAAGATTGTAACAATATGGACTCAAAAGGTACAAAAATAAGGTCATGAAACGATGGGGAAAGAAAAAATCAGGCAATGCAATCGGTGTTTCTGGGGAAAACAGTCTCCTGGAAGCAGAAAGAAGTCTGTTTACTTCAGTGAAATGTGGGCCAAAGAGGTTTAGCATGTACATTCCAAGACAAATTAGGAAACTTTTATGAATGGTTTTCAATTTAATGGGCATGGTATGCTCTCTCTTTCTCGCTCAAAAATAAACACCAAAAAAAAAAAAAAAAAAAAAAAAAAAAAAAAAAAAAAAAGGACAAAAGAAGGAAAAGATTCAATATAGACTTTTATAGAGAAAAAAATGCATCATATAATTTAACATCTATATCTTCAACAACTTTCTCAGGCTGAAATCATTCCAGAATGTTGAAAGGGAGATGGAAACTGATCTAACTCCGTCTTCTCAATATTTAGATAGAAAAACTGATTCGTGGAGATTAAGTGACTTGCCTAAGGTCACATAACAAGCCAGCGAGAACCCAGGCTTTTTAATATTCAGAATTATTTCGGGGTGTCTGGCTGGCTCAGTTAGTAGAGCATGCGACTCTCAATCTTGGGGTTGTGAGTTTGAGCCCCGCGTTGGGTGTGGAGATTACTTAAAAAAAAAAACTTAAAGAAAAAAAGAATTATTTCAATCACACACCATCCGTTTATGAGGACTGAGTAGCCCACTGCAACAAAGATCCATTTTACTATAAATCAGGATTCCTTGCAACTAGATCATATCCATTTTACCTAAGATGGTAAAAACTTTTTTAAACTTTTATTGGTTTAGCCAACAAGAATTTGAAACAGCAACAAATATGCCAAAATGTCAAACGAGAAAAATGGGTATTTTTACTTAAAAGTTTGGAAAATGAGTGCTTCTTCTCCACTGGTAGTAAACCGCTCTCTGTAGAATTCTCCATGGGCTGTAAGGTCACTTAGGGACAGGCTCCCGATGCTCCCCTGCAAGGCCAGGTCTCCATCTAGGGATGTTAAAAATAGAACACACGCCTATGTATCTTTTTTTATACACCTTAAATATGTCTAGAACAAAAACCGATCCACACATGCCTCAGACTTTTCACTATTCAATCAAATTAAATGTCAAAGGCTAGTTTTCATATTCCAATGCACCCGCCAAAAACATTTTATACAGTATTTCAAAGTCTCAATGCAGAAGTCCAAAGGGGGTTGAAACAATACAGCAATATCATACTTTAACCTTTACGAGGGAAAGAAATTAAATGCATACAGAAATTAAAGGATAAAACATTTCTAAATACAGGGGCGCCTGGGTGGCTCAGTCAGGTAAGCGTCCAACTCTTGGTCTTGGCTCAGGTCATCATCTCACGGTTCGTGAGTTCAAGCCCTACATCGGGGTCTGGGCTGACAGTGTGGAGGCTGCTTGGGATTCTCTGTCTTCCTCTCTCTCTGTCCCTCCTTGCTTGTGTGTTCACTTGCTCTCGCTCTCTCTCTCTCTCTCTCTCAAAAATAAACATTTAATTTAAAATATTTTAATTTTTTTTTTTTATGTTTATTTTTGAGAGAAAGAAACAGAGTGCGAGCAGGGAAGGGGCAGAAGGAGAGAAAGAGACACAGAATTCGAAGCAGGCTCCAGGCTCCAAGCTGTCAGCACAAAGCCTGACACAGGGCTCAGGCCCACAGACTGCGAGATCATGACCTGAGCCAAAGTCAGACGCTTAACCGACTGAGCCACCCAGGCGCCCCTAAAAACAACATTTCTAATTTTTTTTTTTTTAACGTTTAGTTATTTTTGAGACAGACAGAGACAGAGCATGAACAAGGGAGGGGCAGAGAGAGAGGGAGGCACAGAATCGGAAGCAGGCTCCAGGCTCTGAGCCATCAGCCCAGAGCCTGACGCGGGGCTCGAACCCACAGACTGCGAGATCGTGACCCGAGCTGAAGTCGGACGCTCAACCGACTGAGCCACCCAGGCGCCCCAACATTTCTAAATACAGACAGAATGGGATCCTTTCTGAGATGAAGACCACTAATTAGAATTAGTGAAACAGCATAAGGTCTATCAACTGCGCGATGGATAAGAGAATAAAGGAGGAAGCATCAGATATGTCAGCTATTCAGGCATTTAAGTGGGTGTCAGTGTGATTTAATAAAAAATTGCAATTAATGAGACAGACACTGGAGACAAGATTTAAAACTACTCTGGTGTCACAAGAGTGAAACCCCCTGAAGGTGGAAAAGAATAAAGAAGGATGTTAAAACATGCACACCTGGGGTGTTCACCTACAATGACTCATTCTTCACATGGTATGGATAATAAAAAGCGATACTGCAAACTGCTGCCTCCATAAAGCAAATTTTATCATCATAGTTAGCACTACAAAGCCGTGACTTAGGTGTTTATATCTGGCATGCTAGTTCAGCTCTCAGTGAATTGAAGACACATAACTTATTTTGGACTCATCGTCACCTAACAAAAATACCCAAGCTTCTCCCAATTTTTAAAGACCTATCTCCTCCAAGCTTTTATAAATTAACTTATTCCAGACGTGAAATCTCATTTCAGTTCATTCCTCCCCCCAAAAGACATTCCCATTTTTATTACAGAGTCAACATTTGAGCTCTGTGATCTTCCACTATTAAGGAAGGAGGGGTGTTTTACTCACACTTTATAAACCTCTGCTATTTAGAACTCGACATGGCTGATCACTTGTGTTCCACTAAGAACTTCTACCTGCACAGTCCCGTTGGAAAGAATGCCGGCTCTGCCACATCCTCGTGCCTGAAATCATGCGCCCTATCGAAGGCTCCCTCTACTAATGCAATAGAGGGAACCTATTCCCCGGTTTCCCAGGTGTAATTACTAATAATGCCCCCTTTCACTCTCAAAATGTTCCCATTTGGACAAAGAAAAATTATATAGTCACCCCAGACAGAGTTTGTTAAAAACACGGATAGATGCCAGGGCTCCAACCCAACCTAATGAATCACATTTTTGGTAGCGGGGGGGGGGGGGGGGGGGGCAGCGTCCCAGACACCTGCATTTTTAACAAGCTGTCCGCATGATTCTGATCCATAAGCCAGTATTCAGGAACAACCACCGGGAATCCAGTGATTCCACACCCTATTTGCATGTGAGGACAATTAGATTTGTGAGAAAAGGAGGAGGAGGAGGTTCAAATTCTTACCAGATTGTGCAAGTTCGATTTCTCCCCACTTACCAATCATTTCCAGGTGTGCCGCTAATTTGGACACACTCGCTTTAGCCAGCTCACTGGTGGTCTTATTCAGCACGAGAGAGAGCGAATGCACCTAAGAACGTGGGACATAAAGCAAGGCAGATCTTACTGGGGGAGAAAAGGCATCTTTCAGGCAAACAGCAAAACCCAACGGAGGGAGATGCACAAAGGCTCGGGAAATGTGAGAAAGCACTTCTGTGGACGCCGGTTTCCTTTCGGCCCTCTTCAGCAGTCAAACCATGATCTAAGGAGAGAGCTGAGGAGAAAGGGGCTCCACCAGACACCCCGAAACCCAGGGCCTGTGGTATAGCGTCTCTGCAGTCGCCTTGTCTATACTCTGTCAGTGAAACGGGTTGGGTTATAAAACAATTTTTCTCATTGTTTGCGCATGTGTTTCATATTGCATTCTTCTGTCATCGCTCATAGAGGTTCATTAAGTAAAGTCTCAGCCTAAGAAATCTGTCCAAGCAAAATGATAAACAGGATTTAGAATCCCATTTAATCCCTGGACAAATATTTAATAGAAGCCCCTGGTGACCAGTGGGACTTCACCTAGGAACCACAATCAAACATTTTCTTTTCAAGGGACAAGCAGAAACAGAAGAAAGCCAAAACCCTCTGTCTTAGGATCTGCATTCTTTGTAACAAATAAATTCATTATGGGGGCGCCTGGGTGGTTCAGCTGGTTAAGCGTCCGACTCTTGATCTCGGCCCAGGTCATGATCTCACAGTTCATGAGATGGAGTCCCACGTAGGGCTCTGGACTCATGTCACAGAGCCTGCTTGGGATTCTCTCTCTCTCTCTCTCTCTCTCTCTCTCTCTCTCTCTCTCACTCTCTCTCTCAAAATAAATAAATAAACTTAAAAAAAATCAAATAAACACAGTATGGTAACACTGTCATTTTAAATATTCAAAGGACTCGTATCTCTACGATGTGTTGAGACAGGAACCTTAGTGTCATCACTGGGGAAAAGGGATCAGTTGGAGAGAAGGAAGGAGAGAGGAGGTCAAACCTCAATTCACATCCCTGCTTCCAAATGCCACACTCACCCCTTTCTCTTCAGTGCCTACCGCTAAGCAGGTGCTCAGGAAACATCTGATGAATGAATGATAAGGAAGGAAAAAGACGGGGGAAGAAAGAGAGAAAAGAATAGGAAGAAAGGCAGGAGAAGGAACATCTATAGAGAAAGGCAGAGAAAAAAGGAGGGGATTACTACAGGTGCAGTGGCCTTGGAGGCCCCTCCAGCGCCATAGAGCCTCCACGGCAGAAAGTTTTTTTGTCACAGACACACACGTCTCAAGGAAATGAGATTATCAAGTAGGAGGGAAACAGAAAACCTCTAGCCACTTAATCACCCAAGTAACAAATACAGTGGGGCTAAAAATGCTTTCATTAGAGGAATCCAGCTGTCACCACCTGACCCCACTCTTAACACAAATCCTAGTGTCCCTAAAAGTGGGACAACCAAACACTGCAATCCCCTCTAGCACAATACAACAGGAAGCACCCAGCACGACCTACCACACGCTCTTAACAAAAAGCTGAACCTGAATCTGATGAGGCCTCTAGAGCTAACTTCCATTTCTAAAATTAGAAGATAAAAGAAGTCAATGGCACCAAAAGAAAACAAAAAGACAGATCCAGAATGTGCGACACTCTACAGGACACATTAGCCCGGTTTCTACAAGCCAGTGGCACGGGGTAAATAAAGACTGGTTTTCTTTAATCAACAGAGATTTAGAAGAAATGAGAGCAAACAGAACATGTGAACCTATTTTGAACTCACATTCAAAAGATTCATATATCATTTTATTTAATGCTCCCCATTTTGTAGACAAAGAAACTACGGCTCAGAAAAGCGAATTATTCCAATGAATTGTAGAGATCACAGGGAAGTTTCTTAACCACTCATTTCTCTACAATCCATCAGCAAAAGGGCTATTTTGAGATAATCAGAAAGATCTGATTATAGACGGGTCTTACACAATACCAAGAAATTCTCGTTAGAGTTAGTTATGTAAGATAACGTCATTTTTTTTTAAAAATGACTACTGAGGCATGTAGAGGTAAAATGATATATCCGGAATTTGCTTTAAAATATTTCAGCAAGGGGAGCCTGGATGGCTCAGTCGGTTGAGAGTCCGACTTCGGCTCAGGTCATAATCTCACAGTTCGTGGGTTCGAGCACCACGTTGGGCTCTGTGCTGACAGCTCGGAGCCTGGAGCCTGCTTCCGATTCTGTGTCTCCCTCTCTCTCTGCCCCTCCCCTGCTCACCCTCTCTTTCTCCCTCTCTTTCTCTCAAAAATAAACATTAAAAATAAATAAAATAAAATAAAATAAAATAAAATAAAATAAAATAAAATAAAATAATTCAGCAAAAAGAAAAAACGAATAAAGTAAATGTGATGAATCTCAAAGGAATTAAGTAAATGGAAGTTCCTTCAACTGTTCTTTTGTGTTGTCTGAAAATTCCCACAATAAACATGTTTTCAAAAATTCTTATTCTAAAACAGCCCACTGCCGAGGGGCATCGTCTAGTCTCGTTCTCTTGTGAAGCCGGCTACACTCCATGTGTGCAAGGCCCCCAGAGCGCTTCCACACCCAACACCAAGGGGCTCCTGAGGCCCTCCGTTACAGGCACCACAAGACTGAAGTTACGGGTACCAACACGTGACGTCCAAAACAAGGGCTGAAGCCTCTCCGATTTCCATCCATCTCGCTAACCAAGGTGCCGGGGGACTCCGCGCTGCCCCGGCACTCACTCGCACACACTGAGCAGGGGAAGTGAGACTCGTTCGTGGCCAACTCTGCCCTGGAAGTTCTTCCATTTCTAGAAGAATGCAGCCTCCTGCCAGCTAAGGAAAGAAGAAGATAGCAAGTGGATTACATGTGATTCTCCCCGGCGGCAGGTGCAAGTCTGCATTGGAGAAGGCAGGTAGATGAACTTCACCCTCCAGACACACACATAACCAGCCACTGCAGGGAGCCCAGGGCTCTGGAAGGTGCTAGATGCTGTGGTGTGCCCCCAAATGGTCAATTGAATTGAACTGCGTACACATCTTACCGTGCTCACGCACAGAGCAGAATAACCTTAAATTCAAACGCTACTTTTTATGTGTTCTTAAACATTCGCAATACGAGTACCAAGGACAAGTATGTGTAAGTAAGTACGGTGAGCCACAGTACAGCAAAAATAATGCCAGCTATCGTTCACTGAATGCTTACTTCATGCCACGCGTTGTGCAAAGGGCCTTGCCCATTTAGTCCTCTCACACAATCCTTGCAACATCCCGACGACAGAGGCACCATCCAACACCCCCAGTTTATAGGTGAGAAAATCGAGGGAGAGAGAAGCTAAAAACTGTGCCCAAGGCCACACAGCTATAGGTTACAGCAGAAATGCCAGGATTCGGACCCGCAGGCCGTCCTGAGGCTCCAATCTCAAGGGCTGGCCTGTTGCCTCAAAAAGCCAGTAACGATCTCAGCGAGCAGGGAGACCACATCCCAGAGTAGCTACCATGCACCAGACACCCGGCCAGGTGCTTTACGTGCATTACCTCACTCGGTTATCTTAATGAGTCGAATGATGGAAGGCAACCAAACAGATGGGTGATGGGAAAAAGAGGAAACTGAGGCTCCAAGAAAATAAGGCATTCCACTGAACTGCACAACCCAAAGAAATACAGGTTACTTAAACCATTTGTTTTCCATGCCTCTTGATGGGCTTTATACAAAAACCTCTTCTAAAATATTAACAGGCATCCAGACTATAGATAGCTCCCCTGCCAACAAGATCTACTTTCTAGAGTAAATGTGCAACGGGCGCACGTAAGTGAACACAGCAAAATTCATTCCTGGAACTTCAAGGAGCCAAAGGGAAGTGATACCTTGAGATCCAGCTTGGTGTTGACTGGATCCTGAAGTTCAGACTCTACCAGAGCATTTGATTCTGACTTCACATTTTGTAGAATGTCCTCAGGAGGTACCTTCATTGCATGGTTGTCTGCAGTGGAACCAATTCCAAAAAAATCCAGTATCACCACCCATGTTTGCAGCGTGATCAGTACATCCAAGCAGTTAAAATCAACATCAATGTTCCGGTTAACTCGACTGTAACTGGAAGAGAATTCTGGATGTTTCTTATCCACCAAGAATACATTGATATGTACCAAAGAATCATCAAATTTACTCTTTCCAGCAAGTATCTTGGGCTCGTCTACTGTTGGAGAAGGGGGTGGAGTCAAGGGATAGTCCTGGTCTTGGACTTCCTTTGGCTTCTTCCGGGATGCCGAGGTGGGTCTCTGATACAGCTGGAAGACATTAGGAGCTTCTTCCATGTGGGAAGGGAGAGACCGAGGCATATCAGGATACTCCACATTGGATACTGAAGGACAGGACTGAGAGAGATATTCTTTTTGTGCTAAACTAGATGGCTTAGGGGCCCCCCGAGACACCATCAGGTTCTTATATTTGGAATCCGGATTCTTCTCCAGTAAGTCTTCCATGAGCAGAGAGCGCAGGGCAATCTGAATGGATAAAGTCTGAGGATGGTCTTTACTGAATTCTACCTCAAAATCCTGAAACTTTAAGCTCACAAGACCCTGGGCCCCCAAAGTCAGATCTCCACTTAGCTGGACTTGAAGCTCTGGGATACAAAAGTTGGCTTGAATCTGGGTAAAGGACTTGACTTCCTTCAGAGACAAGGACTTTTGAGAAGAGTTAGAAAGGCTGGAGTGGCTGAACAATCCATTCTCCTTCCTTTCAATGGAAGGTTCTCCACAGGTACTGAGGGAAGGCAGAGGAGAATTAGGGCAAGGTGAGGAGGCAGCAGTGACTGGAAACTTATTCAGATCTTCACTATACACAAGATTGTCCAGTGTCTGTAAAACCTGCTCATATACATGCTTTGCTAACACCACCTGTAGTCAAAGAGAAAAATGTAGTTATTCCACTACTATTATTAACTGCGCTCAGATGCACCGCCCACAAATTTCCATAGTTGATGTCCATGGGTTTCCCCAAGACGTTCTAAATTGGATGACAGCAGGAACTATCCCTTCTGTTTCTTTTCTGTCCTTACCTCTCTGTGACCCATGTCTACCGATGAGGCCCTCCTGCCGCCTCCCCCAGCACCTCACAAAATAATCTTTACACAACCAATGTTCAGTAAGTCCTGTTGACTGTGGGCCTGAATCAGCAAAATCACTCTGTCTAAACCCACAAAAACAATACCAGAAATCGACGGGAAAACTGCCAAAAGTCTACTGTGGCTACACCACAGGACTGAGAAACAAGGCTCAGGGTTCTAAAACTCGCCGATCATCCCCAATTAGGGTCATAACCTCTGTTTTTACTTCAGCTAAACAAACAAAGTGGTTTTTAATGACAATAATGATAAGTCATGATTACTTACGTTTTCTCTCCCTTACTTTGGTTTTAATTACAATTTCTCATTAAAAATATTTTCACAAAAGCTTTTTAAGTATTTATGGGCAATTTTTTAACAGGAATTCCAAACAGATATAGAAATGATAGAATTAGAAAGTGATCGTTTCACAGCCCCCAATGAACTAACATAGCCCATCGGAGGTCATCCATGGAATCGGCCCTTCTATGAACGACCAGCAGGGAATTTTACAATGGGCAGATTGGGTTCTCGTCACCTGCACGCAATCAACAATTTGAGCATCACTAACATAAAGACAACCAAGCATTATGTGCCTCTTGAAATAATGCAGTATGAAGGACCCAGCACCACGCTGAAGTGTTCTGGCCAAAAAAAGAACCTGAATCCAAATAAACCTGTAGAGTGAAGGTATAGTTTACAGGAAATGTGGGAGAACAAGTGACACCATAACCAAAGAGCCAAATCTGAATGTGGGACAACCTAAGGGCCACTGCCTGACTTCTCACAATAACAGTGTGCAGGGAAAACATGAAAGAAACTGAACAGAGACCCACACGATGTATCATGCAAACGGATTGTACAGGTCTCATTGGATCCTGATTCAAACAAACTAAAAGTGAAAACATATTTTTTTAACTAATCAAAAATGTCTCTGAAATCCAAAAATGCATTAAAATGTATTACGTTACATGGCGTGCCTCTGTGGCACAGTCAATTACGCATCCAACTTTCGATTTCAGCTCAGGTCGTGGGCTCACGGTTCGTGGGATCAAGCCCTGCATCAGGCTGCACGCTGACAGCTCAGAGCCTACTTGGGATTCTCTCTCTCCCTCTCTCTCTGCTCCTCCCCAACGTGCACGCGCTCTCTCTCTCTCTCTCTCTCTCAAAATAGTAAACTTTAAACTATTCCACTTTTGTGTATGTTTTAAAATTTTCATAATAAAATATTTTATAATTAAATTATTAAATTATTAAATATTAATTTGAAGAATGATTTACAGTAATTTTTAGAAGATTTTCATCAAAAGCCACACTAAGTCAATGGTAAACATAATAATCCAACAGAATTCATGTCATATGCTAGATTTAAGGTGAAAAAAACCACCCTAGTAGCCACTACTGATAAGGCAAAAAAGCTTAACCAGGAAGGGAAAGTTTTGGGGGAAGTCCTCTCACCCAGGGACACCTATTCAGGAACCACTGATGTCAAAAGGTCCGCGCATTCTGGAGCACCTGGGTGGCTCAGTCAGTTGAGCGTCTGACTTCAGCCCAGGTCACGATCTCGTGGTTCAAGAGTTCAAGCCCCATGTCGGGCTTTGTGCTGACAGCTCAAAGTGCTGACAGCCTGCTTCAGATTCTGTGTCTCCCTCCTTCTCTCTGCCCCTCTCTAGCTTACTCTCTCTCTCCCTCTCTCAAAAATAAAATAAAAACATTGTTTTAATTTAAATATTAAAAGGTCCATGCATTCTGTTAACAGCACTCCTGAGTTACTCCAGAGCAGCTGCCAGATACAGACTAGAGACCAATTACTGCCCAAAGCGAGGGTCCACTGTCCTAAGAGCCTGCCCGTCCCTACTATTTTATAACGATATACTCTTTGCTCTTATCCCTGTGAAAACAGGAAGAACGACATTTTTGAAGGAAAAAGGATTACAGTTGCATACACATATAGTCACCACACACACAGGCATACTCACGAAACACACACACATACACACACACACACACACACACACACACACACACACACACACAATCCCTATCTCGGCCCATTCCATTTCAAAAAGAGTAAGACTAATTCTCCCTTGAAAGGATCTGTCAACAGCTCAAATAATCAGATTGTTTCATAGGCTGAGCCAAGCATGTCAAAAGAGTGACAAGAACTATATCCTCCTGGGAAAGACAGGCTCTGACTTTTCCAGCAATAATTTTGCCTGCTTCTGAATGGCAATGGAATTAAAGATCTGCCCTCTCCCTCTACATAACTCACCACTCCTCCACATGAAGACGGCTAACAAAACCAATTCCCCAGTGACAAAAGGGTACAGTGATAGGGCTCCACATTTACAGAACAAGTTATCAGCAGTAATACACGGTCACACTGTCTCTTTGAACTTACATATTTTCCTTCTAACATTTCATATATACACATACGTAACATAACAAGATATGAATACACTGATGTATGTATAAAGTAAATATATGACTTCAACTGTCCAGACATGAAAATCAACAAGGTGCTTACCTGAACTGGGTTGACAAATTTCCCTTCAATCTTCATGATGCTAGAAGTTCCCAGGTCATCTGGACTAAGGGAGAAAGTCAATTCAGATTCTCTCTCTATAGGGATCTTCTCCAGTTTAAACTGAATGGTGGTATTGTTCAGGATGTGAAAAGCTGGCATAACAGAAAAAAATGACAGACTGGAAAAACTAGTATTTATCACATCATTGCTGATTAAGTATAGGGTATATAAAATAGAGCCCATGAGTCATTAGGCCCAGAGAGCAGAAAAGCTTGGCACCTGGGGTGTACAATTGAGTACAAACTTATATTACTATCCTAAGAACAAAACCCATAGTAAGCAGAGTACAACATAAACTTATACACAAAAAGAATCAATATTTTCATGACATGCTCCATTTGATGGCTTCAAAATACAATGGGGTGAACATTAATCCAGGCGAGGTCTCTAAGCTTCCCTTAGCCTCCCAAGCCAGCATTTTCCAAACCGAACTGCTCATCCCCTACCCAGTTTTCAATTACAGATTGCTCCCTCTTACTGGGCATACATCAAAATCAAGAACAATATCAGGTTCTAAGTGAACAAGCAGAGAAAACAGTCTTGGGAGAAGGAGGTTAAGTGAACTGGTGAATTAACATCTGAGAACCACAGAAGGAGAAGTTCTCAGAGGCATAAATTTCTTCACCAATAAGTAAAGCCAGGCTTTAGGGCTCACCTGATGTCTGCAGATGCCAAGACTAATAATAGATTGAACTGTTTGGTTTTAGCAGATCAGATCGAGAACACAAATACAGGCATTTTATTCCTAGAACTCTGGACCACCAACCCATTACAGAGGATGGAAGAATACTGAAAGGGAAATATACCATCTGCAGACTAAATTTCATATTCCACTTAGGTCAATCCCTCCAGCTATCTTGGACTACAATATTTAACTAGCAAAGACCTACAGCTGGAACTGAAAAAAAACAGATGTATTTGACCAAATTAAATAACACTCTAGGGGTATCTGGATGCTCAGTCAGTTGAGTGTCCAACTTTAGCTTAGGTCATGATTTCATGAGTTTGAGCCCCACATTGAGCTCTCTGCTGTCAGCGCAGATCCTCTGTCCCTCTCTCTCTGCCCCTCCCCTGCTCACGCTCTCTCTCAGAAAAATAAACCTTTTTTAAAATTAAAATAAATCGGGCGCCTGGGTGGGTCAGAAGGTTGAGTGTCTTGACTTTGGGCCAGGTCATGATCTCGTGGTTCATGAGTTCAAGCCTTGCATCGGGCTCTGTGTTGACAGCACGGAATCTGGAGTCTGCTTCAGATTTTGTGTCTCCCTCTCTCTCTCTCTGCCCCTGGCCTGCTCACACTCTATCTCTCAAAAATAAATAAAAATTTAAAAAAATAAAAAATAAAATAATGCTCTAACAGACCCCACCCTCTAAAGCAACCCTGTAAATAAGCACTCACCCAATGCTAAAGAGCGCCACTTAAAAAAAAAAAAAATCTTACTTTGCCAAATATGGTTTCTAATGGAAAAAACTAAAAACATACCAACCTGATATGAAGCATTCTATTAAAACTCTATTTGGATTTCTTAAATATTCACTGGGGATAATTACAATTTTTTTTCTTTTTTTTTTTTTTTTTGAGAGAGAACAATGGAGGAGGAGCAGAGAAAGAAAGGGACAAAGATCTGAAGCGGGCTCTGCATTGACAACAGCAAGCCCAACGCGGGGCTTGAGCTCACAAACCATGAGATCATGATGGGAGCCAAAGCTGGACGCTTAACCCACTGAGCCATCCGGGCATCCCTCACTGGCGATAATTCTAAACAAAAAGGTTATTTGTTGTTGTTTTTAGCAAAGTACTACATAAGCTGTGTTGAGAATCTTTAGATAAAATGAGACAAAAGATTTACGCTCCTCACCTTGACCTCTATGCAAAGATTCAAAGAAATCATGTCGGGTGAAATGAGCTTCCTCTTGACTATTGGCACTGGCAGACCCAGAAGGAGAACCAAACGCCCGGCTGACTTCGGACCCAGGACCCTCTCTGCCTGCCAACTGGGTGCAATTCAAAGAATATAACTTAATGTCTTTAATTTCCACCTGCAGGCGGTCACTTCTGGATTCATCATCTCCCGACACAAAATTCTGGATGAATATCTGTCCCAAGTGTCCCACCAACAACTCAGGACTCCCAGGCTTTCGAGGGATTGAAACAACAGGGGATTCGATGTTTATGTTCAAGATTAGCTTCACGGTGTCGGAATGAGACCCAGCGAGGCCAAACCCATACATTTCATTTTCTTCAAAGATGGAGGCTTCCCGAGTCTTCCTTGGAGTTTCAAAGAGTGACACCATCTCACTGTATTCGGCCGTCTTGGTGGCGAGTACCGTAGTGACTTTGGTAGCTGCGCTTTTCAGCATACTTCGGAAATTCTCCTCCAGTTCATCCATGGACAATGTCAACTCCTTCAAGAATTTGGCAGAGTGGTTATAATGCAAGGAAGCCATCTTGAGGTTGAGAAAACACTCCTGTTTAGATTTCTCAACAAATGTGAAACTCAAAGCTTCACTGAGGGCTGCATCTTCCATTCTGACAAATACAGATTCAAAGTAGCCAATATCGCTGACGATATTTTCATAGCCTATGGAATTCCCAATGCTGACAACGTACTGGTTCTTAACATTATCTTGTGTCAGGTCCATAAGCTGCAAGCAGCCGAGAGAACCATTCACGTCAAACGTGCTGCCCATTGAAACGTTCACTTTGGTGCCGCCAATGCTCGCGGTGGCGATTTTTCTGCCATGTTTCTCGCCGTTGGCCATTCCCACCGTCCGAACGAGCAGTAAGTTAAGCCTGTGGATCTCCACTGCAACCTCAGTGTTTTGTTCGTACGTAGACTGATAAGTTCCTTCTTCCCTAAAGCTTCTTTCAAAATCGGTCATTAAAGGCTGAGGACTCAAATCGTCTTTTTCCTTGGGAAAAGATTTTTGAAGAAAACCAATCAGTTCCACGATGGTCTCCGGGTTTAGGATAATATCCAAATTATTCACCTGTAATGAAATCACCTGAAGAGTGCTGTCCAAATTCATCGACGGGCACTCTGAACTCACAAACTGATATTCCAGTTTAATGAGGGACTCCTGCTCTTTGGTGAGAATTTTCTCAAGGGCAACACCAGTAGCTGACGGGTCGTTCAGCGTGGCAGCATTAGTGAGGTGAACCGCATTGGGTCCAGACACAGGGGACTGGGCCCTGCTATCCCGGAGGCTTCCTGTTGGGATATCAAAGCTCAGGTTCTTATGCGAAGCCATCAGAAGGTCAAAATCGGCACCGTATGTCTGCATCGTGTCCACCAGGAGCAAACCGTGAACCGTCAGGGAGACCTCAGCATCGTAAGGCCTCTTCACAAAGTGAGCATTGGTCCCAAACACCTTGAGCACGGAAATGTACCGGCCATTGCTCTCAACACCAAGCTGCATACAGTTCACTTTAAATTCAGCCAGGAGGAGCTGTGATTCCACCAGAACCTCCCGTGTATGCTGCTCTAACATCACAAAGCTCTGGGTTAAATTCATTACCGAGTCTTGCAAACTTCCCCGCTGCCCCGCTTGGGGAAAAATCTGCTCTTTAAACTGAGTGTCAGAAGCCTTCGTTTCTGGGGTGGTCAGGAGAGCAAAGCAATTCTTCAGGGCAGATATTTTATCTTCATTGATGTGGATTTTTAAGTCTGGTAGGTTGCCCGAGAGCACGGCTCCAGGGTACTTGGGATCTGAAGTATAAATCAATCGACGTTCTAACTGTAGGTGAACGTTGAATTTCTCAACCACATGGGTTGGTCCCACATCAATATCCTGGACATGCTTCCAATTGTCCTTCACTCGTCCAACCATGATCTGGAGGTCCATAAACGAGAGGGAGTACCTCTCATACATCTTTGTGCTCATTAAATGCGCTTGAAGCTGCTCTTCACTGAACTCAACTCCAGGAAATGGAGGTGTTTTCCCTCCATTACTGCTGCTTGTCTCAGGAGGTGGGGTGTTGGGAGGTGTGGCAAGAGGTGTCTTATATTCGTCATCACTAAACTGGTTCTCTTCAGATGCCGGCCCATCCCCACTTTTCCTCTTGGAGTCATCTGCAGATAAAAAAGAGAAGATTCGGAGTATATGTCTGCTCCTTCCTTACTCTTTCCTTCCATGTAATAATTAAGGAAAAGAGAGAATCAACCAACCCCAACTTTACAAAATAAATGGCTGAAAGCTCTAAGCATAATATTCTCATTTTACCAGTGATTCAGTGTAAACTTATTTATGAATTCTGAAATCAAGACACAAGACAGAATTCTAAGATGGAGCCCTGCTGACACAGGGACACGCGTCGGGGAGCAGAGACCAGTAACCCACTTCCCCGCCACCTGAGCTGCACTGCCACGAGCCGCTCTCACCAGCCATTCTTACATCACTCTCCACAATCATCTATCTGTTCACCTTGTTCCCCACACTAGAATGTTCCAAAAGAACACAGGTCCCATCTGTCTTACTCACCAATACCCCAAGTGCCCAGATCAGTGCTTGGCAAGCAGTAACTACTCAGTATCACACTCCAGCCCCAGAGCCCACACTCAACCCCTGTCTTCTACAGACTTCTACAGCCCAGTCTTGTACACCTCAGCGCGGAGTCAACTACAAAATCACACCACTGGGTTCTCTCACCCACATCTCCGCTCCATGTTTATGCTGTACAAGTTCAAGTAGGTGCTTTCCATGGTTGTGAGATCCTCTTCTTTAGATCTGATCCCCCTTTAACATCCCTCATAGCACCAAACTTTCCCACTCCCGTTCAAACCCTCTACCTCTTCTCTTTTGGGTCTTACTCAGTGAAGATAAGGCTGAATTTATTTGATAAGCTCCCTCAGCCTTTTACCCCATGAATCCCCTTTCTTCCCCCCATCTCAAGGTAAACAATAAATACTGTTTTAGATCTAATGACAGTAATAAAATAACCTCCCAGGAGTCCCTTTTTATATATGTCCCTTATGTCCCTAAATAGATTAAATCTCCGTTCTTGAAATAAAGTGCTGAGAAACAGTGTTTCTTGAAATACAAAACGTGAAGGGCACCCGGGTGGTTCAGTCGGTTAAGCGTCCAGCTCTTGATTTCAGCTCAGGTCATGATCTCATGGTTCCTAAGACTGAGCCCCACACTGGGCTTTACACTGACATCACAGAGCCTGCTTGGGATTCTCCCTCTCTCTCTGCCCCTCCCCTGCTCGTGCTCACTTGCGCGCGCTCTCTCTCTCTCTCTCTCAAAATAAATAAACTTTAAAAAATAAACTAAAATACAAAATGTGACATAAGAAATACAAATAAAAACCGCAATGAGATACTACTTTCCACTCATAAAAAACGGGCTATAATACAAAAGACAGGTAACAAGTGTTGGCAAGGATGTAGAGAAATCGAAACCCTCATACATCACTGGTAAGATAGTAAAACGGTGCTGCCTTTTGGAAAACAGTCTGGCAATTCTTCAAAATGTTAAACATGAAGGTCACCATGTGACCCAGCAATTCCACACTGAAATACACCCAAGAGTTTGAAAATATGTGTACATAAAAGCCTGTACATGAACGTTCACAGCAGACACAACCCAAATGTCCACGAGTTGATGAACGCATGAACAAAACGTGGCATATTCACCCAAAGGAATATTATTCAGGCACAAATAGGAATGAGGTAGAATCTTCACCACAGATAAAGCTTGAAAACAGCAGGCTAAGTGAAAAAAGTTAGACATAAAAGGCCACATACTGTATGACTGTATTCATATGAAATGTTCACAAGAGTCAAATCCACAGATAGAAAGGTTAATGGCTGGCAGGGCCTGGGAGAGGGGATAATACAGAGTGACAGGGGATGGGTCTACAATTGCTTCATAGGATGATGAAAACGATCCAGATTAGATAAAGCAGTGAAAGGCATGATTCTGTCAATATCCCAATAACAACTGCACTGTCCATCTTAAAACGTATCCCAATACAGCTATTATCAAAAAAAGTAACAAGTGAACTCTGGAGTTAAAACGTCATAAAAAACCTTTTTAAAACTTTACTTGGCTAAGAACAGACCGATCAATTTATGCAAGGTGAGGTTTTTATCACTCCGTGTTCACACATACCTTGGGAATTTGTCAACAGCATTCTCCCTAGATCCACGACAACTAACACGGGATTCTTGAATTTGAAATCATCAGGAAATATCACCTGAGGGGCCGAAATATCTAGTCGCACGGTCCACCTTTTACTTTCCTCCTGTAGAAGTAAAATAAACTGCAAATAAATAATTTATAACACAACTACAAAAACTGAACAGCTTTATCAGCTGGGGCTCAAGCCTTTCTGAAAGCCACACCCGGGGTACGGAGTGACTTCAAGGTATTAGAGCAAAAAGTTTAAAACAAAAGTAGATCCAGGGGCACCTGGGTGGCTCAGTCAGTTAAACATCTGACTCTTGATTTCAGCTCAGGTCATGATCTCAGTCGGTGAGTTCAAATCCCGCTGAACTGTGCTGACAGTGTGGAGCCTGCTTGGGATTCTCCTCTTCCCGCCCCCCCTTCTCTCTCTCCCCTCCCTCATGTGCTCTCCCTCTCTCAAAATAAACTTAAAAAAAAAACACACACAAGACAAAAGGAGATCCAAATGCGTAAGGATTTGAGCCATTATCACAGGCAAACGTTTAATGTGGGAGGAAAAAGGGGCGCCTGAGCGGCTCAGTCTGTTAGGTGTCTGACTTCGGCTCAGGTCATGATCTCACAGTTCATGGGTTCGAGCCCCATGTCGGTCTCTGCGCTGACAGTGTGGAGCCTGCTTGGGATTCTCTCTCTCTCTCTCTCTCTCTCTCTCTCTCTCTCTCTCTCTCTCTCCCCCTCTTACTCTGTCCCTCCCCTGTTCTCTCTCTCTTCCCCCCCTCAAAATAAACAAACCTTTAAAGTAAATAAATATTAATAAAAATAAAAAAACGTAACAAGTCATGAGTCTATTCACTTTTCTTCTCTGCAACCAAAATCAGCCTCAAATATTTTGCATGTAGTAAAAAGCTAATTTACATAAATGTTTTCAAAAAGAACCCTCTTTGACTACAGAACCAATGGATACTAATTGTTGCAATTTGTGTTGAAACACGCACACACAAAAACAAGAAACAGGACTAATTCTCCCTGCCAGAGGACACACTGCCACCGGGTGACACGGAACCTTCCTGCTATCCCTTACGAGGACAGGGGCTCTGCCCTCCCGAGGGAGCCAGGCTCTACCGGCCCCACCTACTGTGGCATCTGAGCAGTGCACTTCCCTGCCACCGGCCCAGGAACTGAGTACCGCTGGACGGTTAAGGTGTTTTCTTAAGGTGTCTCTCAGTTCTCCCGATCTAGGCATCCTTGTGTCAGCTGGTCACTTAGCATCACAAAGTAACTATCTCACCCTGGAATCAAAACCGGGCCACCAATGCAGTTGTCTTTCTTCTGATAATAGTAACTGAAGGGGCTGGGCTGCCTGGGTGGCTCGGTCGGTTAAGCGTCCAACTGTTGATCTCAGCTCTTGCAGTTTGTGGGTTTGAGCCCCACATTGGACTCCGCTGCTGACAGCGTGGAGCCTGCTTGGGATTCTGTCTCTCCCTCTCTCTGACCCTCTCCCACTTGCTCTGTCTCTCTGAAAAATAATAAACTTAAAAAAAAAAAAAAAGTAAGTGAAGGGGCATGGTCTTCAGTGAAACACTGATAATATATCAGGTCTACAAAATGGAACAAGTCCTAAGAGTGTTCCAAGACTGATACAAGAAAGAAACATGGTCTAGTCCCAGTCACTTGTTTTTATTCATGAAACCCTGACTGTAAAAGACATGAGATTTTATTTTTTGCTAGTCAAAAAGGATTTCACATTTTTAGTTAATCATTGTGGTTGAAACTCGAGTAGGTAAAGAACTTGACACAAAGAGTGCCTTCCCCTTCTGCTCGCCCCACTTACGATGAAATCACCCACTAGCAGACGGTCGAGAGTCTGTCGGATTTCCGCCTTGGTCTGCATCTTCAGCCTGTTATACTGTCTTCGGGCAGTTTCTGCCACTCTCAGCTCAAGTTCAGACTGATAACCAAACCCTGCAAGATTAGAGACACACAGACAGCAGAGGGAGAACTTTCAAACAGCTGGGTGAGAAAAGACAGCTGCAACGTCTGTTCTCACCAAGAATTTCCAGCAAGGTTAAAAACCTGTCTGTACGAGAGCCTCTCCTGACTTCCACCTGCCCTGCCACTACATACAAAAACAGGGACGAGGCAAAAACGGGGGCACGGCCTGAGGGAGAAAGGCAGTACATGAGGGAAGGGCAACTCAGTCACTAGAATTCCTTAAACCATTTTCTGAACGATCCCAGACTATTCTAAATCTTGAGAGCATAACGTTACATTAAAAGAGAAAATTTAATTTGGAAGGAAATGCCTTCTATCTTCTATCGGTGCCAGAGCAATAAAGCCAAGACATTTACGGCTGTTGCTTACACAAAGACTCAAAAACTGGACCAAAAACTAAAAAAATAGCTCCACTGTTATAAGGAGGGAGAGGGGATACACTTAGGAAAGGACTATTGTTTTATCAACCTCCCTGTCAACAAAAGTGCTTTTTCTGTTTCTGCGATCTCAAATCTCTTTTGGAAACCAAGGGAAGCATGAATAAAGCCGTGATGATAAAGAACAGTGCACGGATGAACTCAGTATTGAACGCTGCACCAGGCAGGGGAAACAGACCACCGACCCCACCATCTACAGGGAAATCCTTGAGCATTCCTCCTCAGTCCACTGGCCTAAAATATCCTGGGTAGCCAAGGAAACCACCACCCGAATGGAATGGAAAGCATTTTTTAAAATATGCAAAATGGAGGCAAAGTAAAAAAAATATTTAAAGATATTGATTCCTTTTGGAAAAGTAACTTTCCAAGGACATCTACTTTAATCCCATAACTAAGGACAACCCCATCCGTTTGCTCTCCAGGCCTTTCCTACCACTACCAGGTCACTTCGGTTTACAATAACCCTTGTCCAAAGCACTAAAAATGACACGAGAAAGGTCTTTAGAAAGTAACAGAAGATCAAACAAACAAAAAAGTTAACCTGAGGTATGAACCTTTCCCTTGTAGAAAAAGTCTGCTACTTTTTTAATAGCCTGGGGATTGTATATGATGTTCAAGGGCCTCGTGCTGACATTCAGCCGCCTCTCAAAATGGCTGTGCACTGGATTTCTCTCATACAGCATCTCAAAAACTGGGTCATCTGGGTCCGCAGCTGAAGGGAAGAACCAGAGAAAGAAAATGGAACACAACAAAAACAATCACCTTATTCTTGATAACCCATGAGGAATTCTGGGAAAAAGACATTTTCTAAATTATTTTCCAACTAGTTCTCTTTTATGAAAATTTTACAAAACAGAGACTCTAATAAGGATGGACTCGAACTTTCAACAAGAATCCTCAAGAGTGGGCGATTGCAATCACTCCCATTATGGAAACCCAGGCTCTAGAAGCCCTGCGAGTTTACCCCAGCCACACACGGGCTAACCGAGAACACGGTCTCCAAGACGAACACAGACGCACACAACAAACCACTGGGACAAAACAGGACACACTCCCTCTTACGACTGACCAAGACTACCGATCCATAATCACCACATTTTTAAAGATTAGTTTTAAGGACAGATGACAAATTACCAGGATTCTGATCACTTCTCTCTGCGGATGTTGTCTGGAGACCAAAAGACTGTGAGACTCTGCCAACTTCTTTTTGCTATTAAAACATACACAAAATGCATAAATGTCAGGTGAGTGGGGACAATTTGCCGTGCACACACTTGCTTGAGCTCTGCCCCTTGACATCACTCTCGCTTAGCACAACCAAATCCAAACTCATCTGACATCAGAATACAGAGGACTTCCAGACTGATCTCCCAGGTCTGTGCCTTTTTCCAACCTAAAATGGACAGCAAGCATGCTACTCTGCAGTCAGTGCGTTGAATGAATGATTGCTAAATGAGTAAGAAGTAGGTACATAACTTCCTTAGACTTGCACTTTGCACTCCCGCCCTCTCTACAATCACCCCCTGAAAAAAATCACAGACAGGGCAAGTGGCTAAATACTCAACTACTGTGACGCATCTGTGCCAACTTAGTAAGATCAAAGATCTAATTAAAAAAGTATACTAAGTATACAAAATTATACATATAGAGATAACCTGAAGTGGTTCTCTTGGAACTCCGCAGAAGAAGAGACTTCCCATCAGTGACCAATGATCAGAAGGCATGAAAATGAATTCCAGACAGAGATGGAACCATTGACTTCGTAATGCAGAAAATAATGGTGCTTATGGCAATCTCTTCCAAAACAGAGCAAACTATTCCACGGCAGTTATGGCACAGAAGAGGAGAAAGGCGCTGCCGTAAATCCCTCCAATATCCATTGTCTGACAAATTCAAACAGCTTACTGAATTCCAGGTTGTTTTTCATCAGCCCACCCTTCTCAAGACGACCAAATGAAGCGAGTTAATATTACTTATGGCTGGCCTAACACAGACCACAGTTCACCACCCCCTGCACAAAGCAGCCGTCCTACCGCTGTACGTACTGAATTAGGGAACACCAGAAGGGGAAACACGGTTCCTTCTGTGGCCAGGTCTCGAAGAAACAGTCCACCCAACCGGACTGAGAGCAAGGAGGAATTTCTTCGAGGAAGAGACTCTGCTAGTAGTTTCACATCTACAAAAAAATAAATGTAAGAGCTAATACTATGCCATGACACCCCAAAGCACTTTACAAGTATGAGATACAATATTTTGCAGAGGACAATTAAGTATCATGGAGTCTTTTGCCTCGAAAACAGAACAAAAAATCCTATTTATATATCGATAGGTGCATATAAATCTCTCTACATGAACACATAAGGAATATGAGAAGTTGCCTAACAGCATGAATTCTAAACAGAGCATATTACAATGAAGTTCAAGCAATCTGCTGGTTCACACTACGTTTATGAAATCTCAGCTCTCAAGATTATAAAGTCAAACAAACTGCTGATCAGTCACCTTTATATTACTGAGATATGTCGCTATCTTATGGACCAAAATAAAAATATTGGTGAGATGTGAAAAACCAATGCCTGCACATTTATACACCTTTAATTCAAAGTCACAACAGCAGGTCAAACATGGTCAATCCTCGTTATTCATGGATTCCAGTTTTGTGAATTCACCTACTCACTAAAATTTATTTATAACCTGAGATCAACCTTCACTGTGCTTCTCAGGACACGCGCAGAGCAGAAAGAAACCTGAGTCCGCTGACGTGCCTCCTCGCGGCCGAGGCCGAAGCAGGCAGCACTGCTCTGCCTTCCTGGCTAGGCTTGGTTCACACGGCACACAAGAGCCCCTCTCGTGGTCTATTTAGTGCCAAGTTTTTTGCATCTTTGTGCTTTCTGTTGGTGATTTCACCATTTAAAATGGCCCCCAAGCATAGTGACGTGCTGTGCCTTACGGCAGACGAGCTTCACTCAGGCACGAGTTACGGTGCCGCTGGCCACGAGCTCAGTATTAATGTCTCAACGACACATGTTAAATAAGTGTCTTTAAACACAGACACACAAGAAACAAGGTTCTGTACCGATCCCTTGGTGGATGTTCTGACCAGAGGCTGGCAGGCACCTAACCTCGTACGCCCCCTAGTGGCACTGACTCAGCAGTCAATCATTCAGTGCTCACCGCAACTTTCTAGAACGTAACTACCACGAATAAGGAGACTCCAGTGGACCCTGGTGCCAGGGGAGAGAAACAGCATCAGGCGGTTCCCTGGGGGCAGCACCTGAAAACTCGAGCTGCATAAACGCGCTCTCCTGCGTCTGCAGGGCGCCCGGCTCCTGGTGCAGCAAGGTCACAGTGCCCCGCTGTAGCTGCAAGTTCAGTCTGGCAAAGATGTGGTCCCGCTTCGTATATGTGTTCACACAGGAGGCGTCGGCAGTGGGGTCAAAAAACTCCTCAGTGCCTGAGCGTGAGGAAGAAAAGACTTTAGGGGAAAACGGGACAATTAAAATGGCACCACCAGGCACGCTACCAAAGTTATGATGACATTATTGAACTATCTCCCCCTTTTTTCAGGAAGAACCCCAAAGTCATGGGTGACTGTTTCATTCCTGATGTAAAACGATCCTAACTATCTTATAAGAGATCTTATCAACTTATTCTCAAACAAGGAAGGATATTAAGATTCATGACAAAGTACGACATCAGCAACACAGCACGCCCGACACAGTGACATGTTCCACGTCCGCGCCGTCCAGCACAGGAGCCGCCAACCGCAAGTGCCTTCAAGCACTGCGGCTAACGTCGCTTGAAACAGAAAAGAATTCTTCTTAATTTTAATTAATTTAAACCTAAATAGCCATCTGTGACTACGGCTACCAAAACGGACAGCGTGGGTCTGAAGAGCAGCCCTGGACCGATATTCAAGCTTCAGAGCTTAAACCTTTTGAACTTGCTCAGTTCTCCTACAATCATGACCCCTCAGATCTACCTGAAACTGTGCTAATTATTCAAATTTAGTAACAAAGCTGCAGATGAAGCATCTCTCAAAATTTCCTCCATCTGAATCTGTGAACATGACACAAACCATTTTACAAATGTCTATTTTTTTTAATGTTAATTTTTGAGAGAGAGAAAGAGAGAGAGACAGAGGTAGGGAGGGAGAGAGGGCAGAGAGAGAGGGAGACATAGAATCCAAAGCAGGTTCCAGGCTCTGAGCTGTCAGCACAGAGCCTGACGCGGGGCTCAAACTCACGGACTGCAAGATCATGACCTCGAAGTCAGACGCTTAACCAACTCAGCCACCCAGGGGCCCCAAATGTCTACTTTTTTCATTGGAAAAATACCATGGGCCATTGCGCAAATAACAGATGAATTCTGATGAACCAAGTGTCTCCCTTAGCAACTGGGCCAGGGCAGGGAAGCGAGGGCCAGCTCCCCCTTACCTAGGATCTCCTCGGGGTTCCACTGTTCACGCTGTTCTGCTGAAAGACCCTCGACCACTCTCCCCTCAGGGCTCTGCTGCCCGTACCAGCCTCCCCAGCCAGGAAACCAGGACTGAAGGTACTGCAGCATCCAGCTGCCTCCGCTGGGCTCTGGGTCCCCAGGAGAGTCGCCTGGAGAATCAAATTGAGGCTCTCGTAGGCTCTGTGTCAACCAGAAATGAGCAAACATGAGTCCCCAAGACAGAAACAAGAGGTCATGCGCCACTGACTGTTCTTTGCCCCCAGAGAAGCACATCAAAACTGAAGCATTCTGAGCGCGTTGGCTCTGAACACATCTTCTCACAGAGGATTTCTTACCTCTGCCAATTCTTCTTGTTTGTGAAATCGTTCATGAACCAGTTCACGCAAAATCTTCAACTCCTCAAAGCTCTGTTCCTCTTCAATCCGACACATTTCCTCCTGTTTTGGGTTAAAACAAAACAAACAAAATGGGTCTTATAGCTCCAGAGAAACTGGACACCTTCACTGACCACAAGTACTGTGAGGGAATCTATCTGGGCCCAACATTCCCACTTAAAGCCAAGGAACAATGAAGATGAATAGTTTCAGCTTTTCCACACACAATGCCATAGATTTTATTTGGTCTCCAGGGACTAACAGCAAATACAGAAGGAGCAGAGAACAGTGCTTGGTTGAAAATTAGTAACTGGGGGTGCCTGGGTGGTTCAGTCAGTTGAGCGTCCAACTCTTGATTTTGGCTCAGGTCATGATCTCTGGATTAGTGAGTTCAAGCCCTACACCGGTGCTGACAGTGCTGAGCCTGTTTGGGATCATCTCTCTCTCTCTCGTTCTCTCTGCCCCTCCCCTCCTCTCTCTCTCTCTCTCAAAATAAATAAATAAACTTAAAAAAAAAAAAAAAAAGAGGGGCGCCTGGGTGGCTCAGTCAGTTGGGCGTCCGACTTCGGCTCAGGTCATGATCTCACTGCTTGTGAGTTCGAGCCCCGCATCAGGCTCTATGCTGACAGCTCAGAGCCTGCAGCCTGCTTCAGAGTCTGTCTCCATCTCTCTGCCCCTCTCCAGCTGTGCTCTGTCTCTTTCTCTCTCAAATATAAATAAATAAACATTAAAAAAAATTAAAAAAAGAAAAGAAAGAAAAGGAGTAACTGAAGTGTAGGTGCTGCTACACTACCGCGTGCACGGTCCCAACAGAGGCGCCAAAGTGTTTTCATGCGCGTGACCTCCGTTACTCAAAGTAGGGGGCTATTTGGTATCCCTCCCACTTCAGATGAGGAAACTGAGGACCAAGTTTACACCGTAAGTGTGCAGTGTAAACAGTTCCTGTACGTGTCATGTGGGACATCAGCAAGGACGTGCTCATCTTAACGTGCTTCCTGACAGTTAGGAAAGAACAGTGGTGGCCAGCTACGTACAAAGATAAAAAAGAAAGTAGAATTAACTGTCCTAAACTGTTTCTTACACCCTAACATCAAGAAAAAGAAGATTAAGGGGCGCCTGGATGGAGTCCAACTTCGGCTCGGGGCATGATCTTGCAGTTCATGAGTTCGAGCCCTGCATCGGGCTCTGTATTGACAGCTCAGAGCCTGGAGCCTGCTTTGGGGTCTGTGTCTCCCTCTCTCTCTCTGCCCCTTCCCCACTCATGCTCTGTCTCGCTCTCTCTCTCTCTCAAAAATAAATAAACATTTAAAAAAAAATTTTTTTTAAAGAAAAAGGACATTATGTTTACTTTCTCACCTCACTGTGAGTTTATACTTCTCTCTCCCTCCATGTTTTTGCCTGTGCCTTTAAGAAAACCATCCAAAACGAAATGTCTGGTTTATTCCAACCTTTTCATAAGGTTCCTATGTCAGTAACCATGCCTGACTCTGGTGGAAAAGGCATTAACCAAGTGAGCGGGTCACGCCTCAGGGAGCCGGCAGGAGACACAGAGCACCGAGTGGCTCAGCACTGCCACTGGTGACCACACACTGGGTTGCTGTTACGGGCTGAATGTTTGCGACCCCCAAAATTCAAATGTTGGAGACATAACCCCCAGTGTGATGGGATTTGAAGGTGGGGCCTTTGGAAGATAATTCGGTTTAGTGCCCTTATAGGAAAAGGAAGACAGATCTCTCTCCACCCAAGAAAGGCCACGTGAGCACACAGTGAGAAGGCAACTGTCTACAAGTCCCAAGGAGACTCTTGCCAGAACCCAGCCCTACTGGCACCTTGATCTTGGACTTCGCAGCCTCCAGAACTGTGAGATACACAGCTGCTGTTTAAGGCCCTCGGTCTGTGGCATTTAGTGATAGCAGTCCGAGCTGACTGAGACGGGTGCTGAAGGGAAACTTGGAAGTGTTTACTAAAGAACAGTTCATTAAGACACAGTACCTGTGCCAAAATACTGGACATGGTCTAAATTGCTATCGCAAAAACTGCTGCTCATAAGCCCAAGACAAATCGAGGAACAGAACAATCCCCACTCCCTTCCCCAAGGAGACAGAGGCAGACAGACTAAAGCAGTGGAGTGGAGTCCCACGCCAGGACTCCAGGGACAGTGGTTCTAAGGGCGTCCAGCCCTATGGTGACCTTGCCTTCACCTCCTGCTTCACCCCCTCCACCTAGCCTCTACCTCAAAAAACCTAAGGTCAATGAAGTCAACTGGGATTGGGGAAAATAGAGGCCAAAGTCTACAGGGATTAGTCAGAGACTCTGGAGGAAAAGAATACTGATGAGGACCAGGCTTTGAAGAGACACAGGGGATGAGATGGGTCCTACACAGGCAGCCAGGGGAGGAGGGGAGTGACACAAAGGTGTGGGTGGCAGGACCATGGCCACCTTTATTCCCCCCCCCCCCCCCCCCCCACCGTGGTCTGGCTCTCCTCCAGCAACAGAAGGTGGAGGATGTTTCTGGCCAAGGCAGGGCCATGGCCTTCCAAGAAGTTTTCACCTAGTAAAACCAACTCTACCCTCTAAAATTACAGTCGTTTGCCAGGGACTCTATTTCCTCAAAGATTCCATTCTCTTCAGCTTTTGAGAGATGTTTTTATCCTCTGAATGAAGACATGACATGCAGGACAACAGCCCCCTCACCTTGTCGTCCGCAGGCAGCAAGCCTCCTTTCAGCTTGCTGAAGTATTTGTCGGTGTAAGACACAGCGTCGCGGGCGCGGTGTAACAAGAAGTCCCAGGTACAGCGCTTCCTCTCCTCTCTGATCTCATTCAGGTTAGCATTCAAAGCGAAATACCACCATTCTCGGCAGCTGAGGTGTGGCATGACAATGTTAATTACTTCTTACAAAAGCAACTAAAATGCCATCAACCCAGGACAATCCACATAATCCTATTCCTTCCTCTTCTGAAATCTCTGTTCTCTCCTCAGCCAGCACTTTATGCCTGCAGCTCATTTTAACATTAGGCTAAACCCAACATGTGGCGAAAGTCCATCTGCTGACAAAAGAACATCAAAGAATAGATTCTCAACCCACACATCAATTGTAATATAATACTCGATTGGTCTCAATTACTCATAACGTAAGTCCCATCCACTGACAGATAATCAACTGGTGACCGCAAGGTAAAGACCATCTTAAGATGATCAGCAAGGATTTGGATACTAAAGAGTTTATATGGCACACTTCAGGAAAGACATGGAAATACACGGGATCTTTTAAAAGTTTTAGGGGCGTCTGGGTGGCGCAGTCGGTTGAGCGTCCGACTTTGGCTCAGGTCACGATCTCACGGTTCGTGGGTTCAAGCCCCGCATCGGGCTCTGTGCTGACAGCTCAGAGCCTGGAGCCTGCTTCGGATTCTGTGTCTCCCTCTCTCTCTGCCCCTTCCCCACTCATGCTCTGTCTCTCAAAAATGAACAAAGTTAAAAAAAAAAAAAATTTTTTTTTTAATTTTAATATATTGGACCGGTCACGTTTATCACTACAACAGGAAAAGACTCCTTTTTGCCACAGAAGTTAGAAAGTGCACTACATAAATGCTGCCCTAACAACACGAGAGAACAGACAGAGGCAGGAAGGTTCAAAGACCACTACAAAGTGTTTCCTACACAGTCAGACCCCACCCGAGCAACACCAGCCTACTTGCTCAGCGAGGCGCAGAGGATCTTAACTCCACCGCACTCCATCTGACAGTAAACCCACGACACCAACTACACGTATGACAACAACACCAGCGTAGATCAACAACAGAAATGGCATGGGAACAGCCAGAAAAATTGACCGTGTTTTTAGCTCCTCATCTCCTCAAACAAAAAAACATTCTGTAACACGCATGTCACATACAACAGATAATTGATAGGTCCTTACTTCTCCGATACAGCCACTCTGGGTTTCCACTTTCGGAACTTCACCTGCCTCTCCTTCCGTTCCAGCTCCTTGAGGAATTCCATGATTTGCCGGTGTTGCAGCTTTTCGTCAGAGGTTAAGAGATCAGTAGGTTAGAACTGACGTGTTTCGTTTACTCAGTTAAGACATCTCTCTACCAAGAACAATTCGTATTGGTCAAGCCGCTGAACTGAAATCCAGTGCAAACTGGAGACCACATATCTGCATCAGTTGGCAATGGTCTCTGACCGCGAACAGTGAGGTATTCAGATGTACTCCGTCACTCAGACTCTTAGTTCAGCACTTCAACGCCAAATCAAAACTAACCTGAGGGCAACCCGATCCAACTGTGTAACACACGGCGGGATCTTGCACCCCAGGAGACAGCTATGGGCTCATGAGCACTTCCTTTCCCACTACGGGCTGTGAAGTATCGAGACCCTTCTATCAAAGTGCTTCTTTTGCCCCAGTTACCAGTCCAACAGGGAGAATATAAACCACTGGGAAGAAAGAGTACCTGAGACAGTTTCAAGGGGATGGTCTCCAGATGAATATCACATTCAATACGGGGGGTGTGTCGCGACCTCAGAGGTTCTTTGGCGCAATTTCTCTTCAAAAGAGCAGATGCACACACAGGTTCCAGGATGTAGTGATGATCGCGACTCTCCATGCTCTTGTCCATGGCCTCCTGGGTGTGACAAGAACGTCTGTCATTACAGCAAATGTTTTCAGGATCAAGTTACATGCTGGTAGTTATCTAATCTAGGGGATATTACCTCAGAATCCAAAGTCAAGATAAAACAGGGAGCCTAAAGCTCTCTACCATTTCTCCTAAAGTTTATTTATTTTGAGAGAGAGAGAAAAAGAGAGAGCAGGGGAGGGGCAGAGAGAGAGAGAGGAAGACAGAGAATCCCGAGCAGGCTCCTCGCTCACTTCACGCAAGTCTCAAACTCACAAACCTTGAGATCATGACCTGGGCCAAAATCAAGAGTCAGACACTTAACCAACTGAGCCACCCAGGCACCCCATAAAGTTCTCCAGCATTTCTTTAAAAATTTATCTGTATTTCTGATTAGGTAAAATGTTCACAAGGTTCAAAACTGAAAGGCAAATAAAAGGTGAAATCTCTCCTTCCGACTCCATCCACTAGTCACCCAATTATTCTCCCCAGAAGCAACCAATAACACCAGTTTCTTATGTATCCCACCAGAGGCATTCTGTGTATGTTCAGAGAACTCAATGATTTTCTGGCTTTTTAACTATTCTCATACAAATGGTACATATGCTGTTTTACCTCAATTTTGTAAACTTAACACTAACTCTTAGAGACAATTCTATATTCATCATAAAGATCTTTGTTCTTATTTTTTATAGCTGTAAATGGCTCTACTGTATGGATGCACAGTACTTATTTAATTGAATTAGCAAAACAAAGCCATTCTGTACAACAGCATGCAAGCCAAAGAAAACCTTGGGTGAGGGGAAAACATGAGTCCTTTTTCTCCATTCCACTTAAACCACCTACGATTTCTTTACTGAAGATTAAAGTCGGAATTTTTTCTATCCTTCACAAACAGTAATACTTTATGTACCATAAAGTTTTTAATGACTTTCTAAGTATTTCTTAAAAGAATACCACCAAAGGGCAAGTTTCAACATTTATATAAGAAAGCTCTTCTTTGAGAATCACATCTGGTGCTTCGTTCACTTAAAATCTGGATGTCAAGGGGTGCCTGGGTAACCCAGACGGTTGTTGAACGTCCGACTCTTGATCTCAGCTCAGGTCATAATGTCAAGGTTCATGGGGTGAAGCCCCACATCAGGCTCTGTGCCGGCAGTGCATAGCCTGCTTGGGGTTCTCTCTCTGTCCTTCCCCAGCTCACTCACTGTCTCTTACTCTCTCTCAAAATAAACTGAAAAAATTAAAATAAAAATCTCGATGTCGAAAAAAAACACAAATAAATAAAAAATAAAATGAAAATCTGGAGGTCAAGTTTGTGATGGCTTAAAGACTAGATAACTATAACATGTTAGATGCCTACTGTGGAATACTGTGCAGTGGTCAGAGGCAATGAACTAGAAATATAAACAGCAATCTTGATCGATCTTAAAAACACAGCTTTAAGTGGAAAAAAAGAAATTTACAATGCAATATAAACGTGAAACATACCCCAAACACTATATATTGTTCAGAATTACATGCATACCAAGTTCCTCAAGCAAACCCACTTGAGCATGGATGCCGATGGACGAAGAGTGGGATGGGATGAGGACCACAGCCACAGAGAACAAACACCGGCGTGGCAGGGACCCCACACTCCAGTGCTGTGTTCCAATAAAGCCTTCTGCCAGAGTCATACCTGTAACTCCACCTGAGGCAAATCCCCCAATAAAGTGCAATCGACATCCCAATAGATGCTAAACTCTGCCACATCTAGTTGTTTTTTCCGCATTAACTTCTGTACCTGGGGTAAAACAGGGAAGAAAATAAGATGACTCTCTTCATTCACAAACTCCATTCACTCATTCAACAAACCACTTCTGAGGAAGCATGTGTCAGGCACTTGGCAAGGTGCTGGGGATACAAAACTGAATTAAAACATGGGTTTTGCTCTTACGGTTTTCCAAATCTAGCTAACTAGGGAGACAGGCATGCCACAATTTTAATCAAGCAGAGGGAAAGCAGAAAAATAGAGAAGATGCTATAAGCAAACAAAAGCGAAAATGTCACCGGGTGAATAAGCATCAAAAGACGGGTATGTTGCTAGCACAGGGCAGGGGGGAAGGACGGGGACACGTGTCAGAGTGCAAGGTCCACCGTACGAAAGGCGTGATATCTTCAGAGGATGGGGACTACATGTGTGATGGGAGCGCTGTCCTCTCGATGTGGGGGCAGCACTGGTACACAGGCACGAACACACATGTGGAGTGGGGTGCTAAGTGCTGACAATACCCAGGTGTGCCGGGTTAAGTGGTTTCCCTCCCCCCAAAACTTCATGTCCTCCTGGAACCTGTGAATGGGACATTATTTGGAAATAGGGTCTTTACTGATGTAATCATATTAAAACGAGGTCATACCAGACGAGGATGGGCCCTCATCTAATGACCGATGCCCTTCTGAGAAGAGAAGGCAGACACATGGGGGAGGAAGACCACACGACAGAGGCAGGGATGGAGTGACGTATCCACAAGCCGCGGAACGCCGAGGTTAACCATCAGAAGCAAGGAGGGGCAGTTTCTCCCACAGAGCCTCCGGATGCAACCGACCCGGCAAACACCTTGATTCCGGACTTCAGGCCTCCAGGATTAAAGAGAATAAATCTCTGTCGTTATAAGCCATTTTGTTCATGGTAATTTGTGAAGGCAGCCCTAGGAAACGAATACACAAGGAGAGGAAGTGGATGCCATACTAAGGAGTCTGGACTTCACACTCGAGGAGCCATGGAGCCATGGAGGGTTTTGAGGTAGGCATGCACCAGGCTTAGGTATCTGTTCTGTTCAGAAACAGAACTCTGGCAACACTGCAAAGTAGAGCTTTCCCCTTCAGTGTGCTAGAGAAAACGAATCATGAGTGGATCGAGAAATGAGCAAGTTTACAGGCTCCAGTTACATTTTAGAAACATCGGCCTGACCACCTCCAGCCTCAAGCAGCCACATGCATTTGCCCCAGCGCCCTGTACAAATGATATTGTATTTCCATGTGGGCCATGATGTGGAAGAGACTGGGAAGCACTGGTTTAGAAAGAACCAAGGGCCTGGGATGGAAGCAAGGGGATATTTTATCCCTGGGATGGAAGCACCAGGATATTTTATCAGCCTGGGCCAAAGTTTACAGGATCCTAAAGTGAGACAGTGGCCGTGAGGATACGAGAAGGGACACATTTGAGACCTTGTGCAAGGAAAACTGGCAGGGTGCTGTGAGCAGATGGATATGGAAGTTGAGGAACAAGAAGCAAAAGGAGGAGCCGGGTTTCTGGAAATCAGGGCAGTGGCTCAGAACACACGCTCCGGAGCAGGGATGGCAAACTTCCGCAAAGGGCCAGAGAGCAAATGGGAAGAAGCCTTCACGGACCGTGGAGTTGCGGTTGTAACTACTCAACTCTGCCCACCAGAGCACAAAGGCAGCCCTGCACAACATGTAAATGACGGGTGTGGCAGTGATCCGGTAATTCTTTACAGACAAGAAGGGGGAGTGGGGGGACTTTGCTCTCCAGTCCACAGTTTGCAAACCCCACTTGGCAGCTGGGCCACGCAGCTTCAGGACCTGGCCCTTCCGCTCCATCGCTGTGCACCTTAGCACCTTCGGCTGTGTGTAGGAGGAGGCTGACAGAGGTGCGGTAAAGAGCACTGAATATTCAACGAGGTTAATCACGTGAAGCACTAAGAAAAGTGCCTGGCATGGGAAAAGGCTCAAAAGAGGTTAGTTTCGTGTGTTTTAATACTCCACAACATGTTAGAGAATAAAGGGAAAAAGCTGGTTTCGGGGACGCAAAATGGGCCAATGGAACATAATGGGATAATTTTGGTTGTGACACTAAAACACCACAGAGGTGTCCCGCAGGTAAAGCCCATGAACCAGGAGGCCAAAAGGAGGTGGAGAATGGAGTTCAAGATGTGCAAGGCATCGACAAGTATTCCCAGAGGATGGCTCAATCTGTGAAACAGAAAGAGTTTACCCCCAGAGGTGCACACAGTATGAGAACTCAGTTTCTTCAGGCACAAGATAAATGGGGCTGCATCGACGTTGAACGGATGAGCGAAGTAACAAAAGGTCAGAGAAAATGAGCCATTTTCCTATTTTGGTAAATTAATCTGTTGGCACAGACAAGAGGCGCGCACAGCCACCCAAGAACTTGGTGAGGAAGAACGCAGCCTCCTTTACATAACACGAAACGACAAAGGCAGGACCCCAAATTCCCTAAAACCAGTGCTTTCTTCCTGGTTAGTGGGCCAGTTCATACTCACAGGCTCATTCACAGCATTCTGCATGGACACATTCTTAATACAGATGCCAAATGCAAAAGGATGGGACGGATTGGTAACACCATCTTCAAAGCGCAAATGGACATCTTGAATTTTTAACTGCAAGGGGGAGAAAAAAGGAAAATGCACTTTGACATGTGCTGCAGGTAGAATACCACAGGGAGACGTCAAACTGCCCTTAGCATTTAAGTAAACTACAGCAGGTAGTTTACACAAATGCTTAGGGCACACACACCATTCCAGAAGACCCCTTAAAGAAACATTCAAAGAAATACCACTGGATCTAGATAACTGGCCTGCCCTCTCCTACGATACCTTAATCTTGCCCCAGTGTCCCGGCACCTAGACTCAGGAAACCAGGAGGGCACATACACTTTGTACCTGTTTACTTCCCCTTGCCCCTGCGGGTGGGCTACAGAAAAGGCACTCTGCTTCAGTGAATTAAAAAACGTTAACAGAAAGCGAAAAGACAACCCATAGGATGAGAGAAAATATCTGCAAATCATACATCTAATAAGGGACTAGAATCCCAAAATACACAAGGAACACTTGCCACCCAACAGTAAACAAATAAACCAGGGCACCTGGATGGCTCAGTCAACTGAGCGTTCAATTTGGGCTCAGGCCACGATCCCACGGTCATGGGATCAAGCCCCACGTCCAGCTCTCCACTGAATGTGGAGCCTGCTTAGGATTCTGTCTCTCTCTCCCTCTGCCCCTCTCCCCGGCTCACACTTCCTCAAGAAAAGAAAATTTAAAAAATTTTTAGTAATTAAAAAAATAAAATAAACCAATGTTTTCAATGGAAATGGGATCTGGATAGACATTTCTCAAAAAAAGATACACAAGCGGCCATAAGCACATGGAAAGATGTTCAACATTAGCCGTTAAGGAAAGGCAAGTCAAAACCACAGTGAGGTACCACCTCATACCCACTAGTCTGGTTATCATCAAAAGATAGACAGTAACAAGTGTTGAGGAGGATGTGGAGAAATTAAAAAGTTCATACGTTAAATGGTGAAATTGTAAAACAGCACAGCCCCTTTGGAAAACAGTCTGTCAGTTCCTCATGAAATTAAACACAGAGTTACCATATGACTCCACAATTCTACTCCTAGGTATGTACTTAAGAAAACTGAAAACATATATGCACACAAAACCACATACACGAATGTTTATACCAGCATTATTTACAATAGCTAAAAAGTGGAAACAACCCAAATGTCCATCAACTGATAAGCAGATAAACACAATGTAGTATAGCCTGAAAACCGCAAAAACCCTCAGTATGAATACTCCATTCAAACTCCTGCACTTTGAGGAGGTTTCTAGCAGCCTAAAGCTGCGTGCCTGGGACATGCCGGCCTCCTCCTGAGTTCCTGTCTGGAAAAGCTCAGGGCTGTTTGTTCCAGCCAACGCCTGACAATAGGTCCCTGACCTCCCTTCCTTAAAAGCATTGACCCAGAAGGGCTTACAATTGTGAATCCTTTCTCTGTCCCTATGAGATGTGTGTGTGTCTCCTACAATCAAGGACATGAAAGCCGTTCCTCTGAAATGTAATCATCAGGAAGGAGAGGCCCTGTCTCCCAATCTCTGTGGGAGCACAGAAGCCCAGCCAGCAGATACAGCTGGCCTTATCACATTGACACTGACCTTTTAGAATTCTTCACCTGAGCCCCCCCCCCCCACACCGATCCCACCTCACTCTCCCTTTCAAAGGCCTAGTCACCTCTGTGCAAACTGGAACAGAGCTCTGCTCCTGCCACTTCTGTCAGTAGTTACTGAATAAAATCTGTTTTCACTGCTTCAACTAACATCCAGCTTTGTTTATCTTTGACAATCCATACACGGGAACACTTTATTCAGTCTTAAAAAGGAATAGAGTGCTGGTACATGCCACAACACGGATGAACCTTGAAAGTATTACGCCAAGTGCAAGAAGCCAGACGCAAAAGGCCACGTGATGAACGATCACACGGATGTGAGATGTCCAAACCAGGCAATTTCCATAAAGAAGATAGATTAAAGGGGGGCTAGAGGGAGAGGAGAAATAGGAGTAGCTACTAAGTGGGCGTGAAGTTTCTTTTCGGGGTAATGAAGGTGTTTTGGAATTAGAGAGTGGTAATCTAGGCACTTTGTAAATACACTAAAACACACTAGCGTGTACATGTTAAAAGTCTGTGAACTTTATGGGGCGCCTAGGTGGCTCAGTCAGTTAAGCGCCCAACTCCAGCTCAGGTCATGATCTCATGGTTCGTGAGTTCAAGCCCCACGTCGGGCTCTGTGCTGACAGCTCAGAGCCTGGAGCCTGCTTTGGATTCTGTGTCTCCCTCTGTCTCTCTGTCTCTCTCTCTCTCTCTGCCCCTTCCTTGCTCGTGCTCTGTCTCTCAAATATTAAAAAAAATTTTTTTTTTTTTAAGTATGAACTTTATGGAATGTTAACTAAATCTCAACAAAGCTATTATTAAAAATAAAAATAATGAATTATTTAAAATTAATGAAAGCTAAAAAAACCTTAAAAATACAACTGCCTAAAACAATTCAAAGCACTCACCTCAAATGTACCAATCTCTTTGTCAACGTTCTGACAGTTATGAAACCAACAACCTCAGACTGCATTTTTGGGGGAAGTGGTGTACCCTGAAACCATTTTGGCCTCTGTCACCTTGGCAATGCAAGAAAACCCCGGATGTAGTAATAAGTACAGCCTTACTCTTATGGCATTCATGAACATCAGCGTGGACCCTGATCTAGTTTTTGAGGACAAAACAAAATTGTAATTAAAGCAGAAAATGTGGCCAGCAGCCCAAGCACCTGCCACCTCATCAACCTGCCACCAGAAACGTCAGTGAGAGATGAAACACCTCAGTGGGCTGCTCGCAATTCACTACGCCACCCACTAGAAACCACGTATCTGACCTCTCTCATTGTACAGAGGAAGAAACCGAGACCAGAGAGATTAAGTGATTTGCCCTAGAAGAATCAGTCACGAAGGTGCAGGTGACCCGGCTTCTTAGGAGGTACATCCTGTAGCAAGGAAGAGGGCGACACTCAAGAACAAAGTGAAGTACAAGGTGAGTGAAAATGAAACTCCTACTCGCACGAGCCGGAGCAAGAAAAACCTGTGTCTGCCCAGGGCTGGAGGCTTGCCCTTCAGGTTTCCCTCCTGGCACTGCCTATAAAAGGGCACACCTGAGCAGTCAGCCGTGGCATCACATACCCCGCATCAGTTAAGCCCACGAGGAACCAAGTACTAAGGAGCACACACTCGTAAGCCTGAGAAGTCCCTGTCGTGTTCATACTTCATAAAAGTCAGTAGGACTTACTTCGATATTCTCCACAATTCTCGTAACTACTGAGGCAGTGACTGAATACCAGTAGGACTCCCCCTTCCGCTGGCGTTCATTCTGCAAAGGAAAGAGCGAGGGTTAGCCGCGTCCAATGCTCTGCTCACATGCTGTGCCTCAGCGCAGCTGCTCTGGTGGCCGAGGGGGGTGTGGCTTGCCTTCCATCTGTCCTCCAGGGCTTGAAGTAAAGCCTTCTTGCGCTCCCTCTCCAAGAGCTTCTCCTTCTCATCATCGAAATCCTCTAGCTTTTCAGGGGCTCCAATTAAGTGAAGGCTGGAGATGGAGATCACCCAAGGGTCCACGTGGGGGCGATAAAAGGGAATCTGAAGAGTCACCTTCCCAATCAAGCCTGGGAAAAGCAAAATCTCGTGAAATGCCGATACACAGTGTTGGCACTTCTTTCTATTTTTCTGTATTCTTCCAGTTTTCTGTAAGAAGCATTAGTACTTTTACAATTTTTTGTTTAATCTACGAAAATAGGCAGCAGGTTCTCGTACGTGGGAGACAGAAGTTAGTACACTGACATCTGTAAGAACAAGACCCAATAAACTAGAACGTGGAAAAAGTGCAGTGACTTCACCCTATCAAACGCAACACCTCTCCTCTGTGCACTGCCTCTTCCCCAACTAACCTACATCTTAAACGACGTTGGGGTGTCTTTCTCCCCATAGCACCCGCGCAAGCCTAAGAGCACTAAACTCATTTCTCGTTGGTTATTAGTTGGCTGGTTGAGAAGCACTTCTTGGGAGTTACTGGGCTTACGATATGTCCGGTCTTGAACATACCAACTGCAGTGCGGGCGGTCCTGCAGTGGCACTCTGTTGAGAACGAATTCTGATCCTTCAGAACACAGGCTGATGAGAAACTAAATGGCCTGCTAGGACCGTGATAGGATTTTCCCAGTCCCACCATTTCTAGCCGAGCTTCCTAGGATACAGGCCTTCTTTAAAGACAATTAGTAAAAGGCATGTCCTACTAACAACAGTGCATAAAACTATCTGAACTGGTGGCACCTGGGTGGCTCAATCGGTTAAGCGTCTGACCCTCGATTTCGGCTCAGGTCATGATCTCACGGTTCATGAGTTCGAGCCCCACGTTGGGCTCTGTGCTGGCGATGCAGAGCCCGCTTGGTATTCTCTCTCTCCTTCTCTCTCTGCCCCTCCCGTACTCTCTCTCAAAATAAATAAATAAACTTAAAAAAAAAAGAATATCTGAACTGTCCTAATGGCTCTCAAAGATCCACACGGCCCAACTAATAGCGTATCTCTGAAACATATGTTATCAGAAGGTGATCATTTCCCTCTAAGATCTAGAATTCAAGTAGGATTGACCTATTAAAGATAAAATATCATTAACACCAAGTGACTGTGTAATCCAGTAACAAGTTAAGAAATGTGACAACAAATAATGAAAAACATTTTAATTTGGATTTTATCTAGAAAAATGAAAGTAAGTTTTTTTTGTTTTTTTAATTTTGGAGGGAGCTTTATTGGGAGCTCTGGGGTTTTTTTGTTTGTTTGTTTGTTTTTAAGTAGGCTCCACACTCAACATGGGGCTTGAACTCACAACCCTGAGATCAAGAGTCGCATGCTCTACCAACCGAGCCAGCCAGGCACCCTGCAAGTAAGTTTTGTATATTTAATAGTTAATATTATAACCAAATCCATATACCGGTTTTCACCACAAAGAGTTTAACAATAATTAGAGTGCAGTTGCAATTCTAACCTAAATTAATTGGGAGGAAGAGGCATATCTGATAGACGACAAGCCAAATATAACTTCTGTTACATTTCATTTAATTTTTGCAGAACACAAATAGGGTCGTTTTTGCAAAAATATGAGAAAACCTCATCAATTTCCTCCAAGAGCCTCTCTGAATCCTTTGATACTCAAATAATACCTCTTTTGGAAACATCCACAGTATCATCATTCCAGAGTTTCTTTAAGATTCTAATCGGTCAGGATCTTTGCCTATGATTCTGGCAGTTCACCCATCACTTGAATTTGACTTCAAGAAAGTCTAAATCGTTTGCAAGATTTCTATCTTATTTCACCTAGCAACTGATTTGCATTGTACTTGCATTTTATTTTAATACAAGTATCCAAAAATAAGGGAAAGAATGACATCAACAGGCTATTATTGAATGATGAGTAGTGTCTGAATAGGGACTAATTTTATACATGGTCATTTAACAAAGAATGTAGTTTTTTTGTTCTGTTTTTTTTTTAAGATTTTATTTTTAAGGGGCACCTGGGTGGCTCAATCAGTTGAGTGTCCAGCTCTTGGTTTCAGCTCAGGTCATGCTCTCACGATTCATGGGTTCAAGCCCCAAGTCGGGCTCCATGCTGACAGTGCAGAGCCTGCTTGTAATTGTCTCTCTCTCCCTCTCTCTCTGCTCCTCCCCTTCTCTCTCTCAAAATAAATAAACTTAAAAAAAAAAAAAGAAATTAAAAAAATATATTTTATTTTTAAGTAATCTCTACACCTACTGTGGGGCTTGAACTCACAAACCCGAGATCAAGAGTTGCACGCTCCAACTGAGCCAGCCAGGTGCCCTAACAAAGAATATTTTTATTCCACGACCATTCTTGTTTCCTTACCAAACCTGCAGAACTCCTATAATAACTGCAAAAATCTATGAGTGTGCCAGGCATCGTTCTGAGTAATTTTAATGCATTAACTCACGTATTCCTCTCCACAACCCTCTGATGTAGGTACAACAATTATCCTCTCATCTTAAAGACTACGAGGCACACACAGAGTTGTGAGGGAACTTCCACAAGGTCACACAGCCAGAGAATGGTAGATATGGAATATACACCCAAGCACACTGCTCCAAAGCCCACCTTTCATTCAGTAAACTGTCTCTCCATAATATAAAGAATTCTTCAAAAATAAGAACTCCCTGTATCTAGTTCTTTAAGAAACATAAGAATCACCTGGGGATGCTTATTAAAAATGCCGGTTGGGGGCGCCTAAGCGGGTCAGTCGGTTAAGCGTCCGACTTCAGCTCAGGTCACAATCTCACGGCTCGTGAGTTTGAGCCCCGCATCAGGCTCTGGGCTGACAGCTCAGAGCCTGGAGCCCACTTCAGATTCGGTGTCTCCCTCTATCTGCCCCTCCGCTGCTTGCACTCTGTCTCTCACGTTGTCTCAAAAATAAATAAACATTAAAAAAAAGTTCAGTGACACTCCCTTGCCAATTCTGATTCAGTGGGCCTGGGGAACACCTGACCTTCCCACCACCACCCAAGGTCATCCTGATAGACAAGGCCACACTTTAGGACTGATCTACAGTCTATACTTCCTATCCTGCCTCTTCCTGCTCAAACAGAGCCAAACTCAAGGGCTCTCAGTTTTCACATCCCAAGCAGTATAAGACTCAAAACCGCCTCTCTCGGCCTTAGAGGTCCACATACCAGCTTTGACTTCAAACGGTAATTCCAGCTCTTTCAAGGCATCTTTCTTCAACGGCAAGTTTTCCAACTCAACAGCACCTAAGAAATAAAAACAACATCATGAAATGTTCATCCAGCAAATGCAGTAGGTGCCTACTGTGTGCATATCATTGCAGGTTAAAGGGAAAGTCTTCCATCTCCACCCAGCTATAAAAAGCCAGAAGCAGCACCAGACTAGCCCATGGACTTTATGTGCACTACTTTCCTGACCATCCCCCTCTGACAGCCGAAGCTTGCCTGAGGATGAAGGGTTTAGCCTGGGATCTTTTTCGATAATAAGCCAGATAGTAAATATTTCAAGCCTTATGGTATCTGTTGTATATTCTCTCTGTTGTTGTTGTTGTTGTTGTTGTTTACAAGCCTTTAAAAATATAAAAGCGACATTCTCGGTCTGGATTTGGCCAGTGGCTAGGTTGCAGACCCCGAGTTTAGACGAGTTTAGATGCATGTTCAGCAGAGAACCATTAACATCTGAATCACCTGGAAAGAAATGCAGGCTCCTGGGCCCCCTGCCCAGACATCTCTGGGATTAAAACAAGAAATCTGTGATTTTTAACAAGCTCCTGCAAACCCCCCACTCCCCAACAAATGGGTATATTGCACACAACATCTGAGAGCCCCTGAGTTAAATAAAGTTGGTCATCAAAAGGAGCTGCACTCCCTTCTGGAGAGACCAGCTCCACATGTTCTCCTCCATATCTCCACTTGCAGGCTTAATGACCTGTCAGAAAGCAAAGAACAAACCACCGCTGAAGGTCCTTGTCAGACCCAGCTTTTATAGGACTTAAACCTAGAGGTCCAAGATGTCTCTGAAGCGACTGAGGCACAGTCAAGAGGGAGCGGCTGACCTCTCGCTCTCCCAGAGGTGACTCCTCAGTGTGTAGGAGGCACTGAGCTGGCCACTGGGAATGTGAAGAGAGGAGGCAGGGCCCCATCCTGAAGGGCGGAGACAGGCAACATTCGACAAAACTGTTTGCACGACCTCAGGCGATTTCTGAGAAAAGGGAGTACAGACGACAACCACCCAGCAACCACTAACTGGTACGAGAACTCAGAAGAAAGGCAAGCAAGCCAAAGACAAACTAATACAAGAAACAATTATTTTTTCCTTTAAATGACTGTTCAGAACTTGTGGGTAACTGGCTTCTAAAGAAGTATTCAAATCTAGCAACTTGGCAGATGCTGAGCAAATGCAAGCAGCTTATGTTTTAGACTTTTGCAGAAACGTATCTATGTGGGTCCCCACAAAGCTTAAAGACCAACCAAAGAGCTGCGGTGCCTGGGTGGCTCGGTCGGTCAGGTGTCCAACTCTTGATTTCGGCTCAGATCACGATCTCATGGTTCATGGGATGGAGCCCCGGGTCGGGCTCAGCTCGGAGTGCAGAGCCTGCTTAGGATTCTCTCTCTCTCTCCCCCCCTCTCTGCTCCCCCCCACCTCTCTCTTTCTCACACACACTCAAATAAGTAAGTAAATTAAAAATAAAGACTAGCCACAAGGAGAAGTTAATAACCCCAGAGATCCCGGATGCAACCCTATTTCCACATTTGGGGAGTAAACGATCATAAGGGGGGAGGTGGACATGAAACAAGTTCCTCAACAGTTGAAACTGACTTAGAGGGGGAAAGTATATCATTTCTCCTTCTGAAGAGCGTCATTTGCGATTTGAATCATCTGCCCTATTTTTCAATACCCACATCTGTCACAAAGGCAGGTGGCTGCTATCCACCTGCGGGAAGCGGAAGGAGTTGCAGGCAGTCCACGCCGTGAAACATTAAAGCACAGAGGGCAAGAGAGGTGGTCGAGGAAGGAGAAGAGACCGAGGAAAGAACAAGAAGGGCCGCTCAAGGCGAGTCAATAACAAAGGAATCAGACAAAAGGGTGGCAGTGGAAGCCTTCCAGTCGGAAGGCTCTCTGATTCCCCACCCACTCAAATGTGTACCCACAACTGGCCCTGCTGGGAAAGGTCCCTCAAGGGACCCAGAGGAGGTGAGCACTTTATAAATGAGAGCGCTGTTCGTTTATTTCCGGGCAGATAACACACAGGCTTATTCCTGGATGTCTCATTCAAAAACTCCTCAGCTTAGTTAGGCTACCAAGAAACCAAGTCCCTAGAACTGGGGTAAATCTAGGGGCCGGCTGCTTTTCAGTCATCACCAATGACTACTGAATTCTCCTCCCTCGGCTCTGCGTCACTTAAAAAGCCAGCCTGAGCGGGGCACCTGGGGGGCTGAGTCGGTTAAGCATCTGACCTCAGATTAGGTCATGATCTCGCCATTCCGGAGTTCGAGCCCCACATCGGGCTCTGTGCTGACAGCTCAGAGCCTGTTTCAGATTGTGTCTCCCTCCCTCTCTCTGCTCCTCCCGTGCTCACGATGTCTCTCTCTCTCTCAAAAACAAATAAACATTAAAAGAATTAAAAAAAAAAAAAAAAAAAAAAAAGCCAGCCTGAGGTTCAGGGCTTATAGGAACAAAAAGGAGAGGGAGCCGAAGTGCTGGGTCACAAATAGAGATATGCCCACGGCCCGAAGTCCTGCCTCCCCGACATGACACCAGCAGCTGCTGTCTTCTGGCCCCAAATCATCCCAAACACGCCCTGCGAGCTTTCCACCTTCGGCCTGTGCTCACAAGCTTCATGCTACCCGCAATGTCGTGACCCGTCCCACGCCGCCTATCGAGACCCTGCACTGCGGCCTTCTAGGGTCCTACGAACAGGATGGACGACCCCCCTCCTCGGCACCCCACTGCACTCTGCCTGTGTCTCTGGTACAACAAGTTACTACCTACTGCCTTGTGTTGCTGTATCATTTCTGTCTCCCCAGCAAGATAGCAGGTGTCCAAGGGCAAGGACCACAGACGTGGACGTGGAACAGGAACAGTAATAGCAGGTACCACTGAGTGAGACCTGACTGGTGCCAAGCACTCGATATGCATCGCCTCATTCAATCCGCACAACAACATGAGGAAATACTATTATTTTCTCCATTTCAATGTGAGGGACGTTAGGCTTAGAGAAACGCAATCTGCTTGAAACTCACAGAGCCGCTGAGCAGCAGGGCTCGAACCCGCCCTAGATCTGCCTGATCTCAGCCGGCCAGAGGCGCAGGGGGTGGAGAGGAGGCCTAAGTAACTTGCTTACAGTCACAAGTAGCTTGTGAGTGGGGAGACCAGGCCCAGCCCCTAGGCCTGAGCTCCTAGAATCTTCTCCTGTCCCCGCTCTTTGTATCGCCCCTTAGCACAGAGCCAGACCCAAAGCAGGCACACAACGGTGTTTGCCGAGTGACTAAACAAATAACATCTTATACAAATTCTCTCTCCCTCCTTCAACTACTTGTACACTATTTACAGTTTTATTACTTTCAGTATGTTGTGCACAATGCACGGTTGAAGTCCAACCCACACCAATCATAGGCTGACGGTCGTGACAGTGGAGGATGATGGTAACTAACATCGACTGAGGGCCCGCTGTGTGCCAAGAACGGTTCTAAGCTACTTGACCTACATTAATGTGTCCAGTCCTCAGAACCTCATGAGACCGTCAATATTCTCTCCGATTCACGGACAGGAAGAATTTGAGAATTCATGAAGAACTGGAGTAAGTTGCCCAAGTTGCTGGTAAATGGAGGAAATGGGATGCAAAGCCAGTCCGGCTACAAACCCTATACTCTTGATCACTATGTCCATCTTCCTGGCATCTCCCAAAGCATCTCGCATACTAAATATGTCCAGATGGACTGAAATAACATTCTTATTCCCCTACTGTAACCCCTGCCTCCAGACACTGCTTTAACTATAACTGCGATGCCCCAAACTTTCCTAGCCAAGCACCGTGATGTGCTCTGAATCTGTAAGGACGGGGCATCACACTAATACCGGTTAGGAAAGAAAAAGTATTTTTTTATTCTGCACAGAGAATATTTTTAAATAGGAAATAAGCATAGAAAGGCAGTCTGAAGCACCAGAGAGATACACATAGTTGTCATTACAAGACAGATTCTAAAACTGAGCTTAGAAATCTGTCACTAGTATAGACTCCACGGTACATCAGATACCACACATTTGTATTTATTCATTTCTTCAGCCAACATCCTCTTACCACATCACTCTTGAAAGAGCTGGCTCTTTTATTAGCAAGGTTATGGTTTGCAATTCCCTTTCTCGGCCCTGTTTCCTGGCCTGTGCCACCTGGTTAGCTTTGTAGCATGTATGAGAAGTTCAGTAAGTGACCAAAGAGGTGAACTCGACACTACTCTCATACTTTGAACACATCCTCTTCCCTGACAGATTGGTCACTTTCACCTTGCACTCAGCAACTCTCTTCTTTTTTTTTAAATTTTTTTTTTTTCAACGTTTATTTATTTTTTGGGACAGAGAGAGACAGAGCATGAATGGGGGAGGGGCAGAGAGAGAGGGAGACACAGAATCGGAAACAGGCTCCAGGCTCTGAGCCATCAGCCCAGAGCCCGACGCGGGGCTCGAACTCACGGACCGCGAGATCGTGACCTGGCTGAAGTCGGACGCCCAACCGACTGCACCACCCAGGCGCCCCTCAGCAACTCCCTTCTAAGGACAGGGAGGAAAAAGGTCAGGACAGAAGTTAAAGATTAAGAAAAGACCTACAGATTAAGAAAAGATACAGATAAAGATTAAGAAAAGGCTCCCCACAGCCTGTGGCTGCCAAAATCCTTTCACTGGTTCAGAGGGGTCAGGAAAACCTGCAAAGCAATACTTCTGGTGACAGGTGAACCGCTGGCACCCTATTCTCAGATGCCACAATATGTACCACTGTCATCTCCACTAACCTGTCCCGGTCCACCGGCCAAAACCCACACCCCCAGAAGGTGAGCTTTCCGCCATATTTGAGATTTCCTTCCCACTTTCTATGATGCTACATGATTGCAGACTGACTTTATCTCCTCTCTCTAGATTGTTCAAATGTTCCATTGTGAGTTGAGCACAAAGAACTTAAATTAAAACAAGGAGAAGGGGAGGGGCGCCTGGGTGGCTCAGTCAGTTGAGTATCCGACCTCAGCCCAGGTCATGTTCATGAGTTCGAGCCCCACGTCAGGCTCGCTGCTGTCAGCGCAGACCCTGCTTGGGATCCTCCGACCCCTTCTCTCTCTGCCCCTCCCCCATTCATGCTCTCTCAAAAATAAATTTTAAAAATATTTAAGGAAAAAAAAAGAAGGGGAAAAAAAGAGGTTTTCCAGTGCTCACACCAGATCCCTGGACTGCGTTAAATCATGTACAGGCATTTACCGAGGATAGGCCTGTAAAGGCTAAAATGTCTCAAACTTTATAGAACTTTATTACTAGGCAAGACAGGACCTCAGAAATTCTGTCAAAGACTCCACAGTAACATATGTGAAAACTTTGACTAGGTGTCTATTACACACAGCAGGATAAGAGCTTTAAATGTCATTCCGTTTGATCCTTACAACAATACTGGAGAGGTATATCACCCATTTGTTCTAAGGAAACCAAGGCTCAGAATTTCAATGATTTGTTCCCATAGGTAATAAGTAACACAACAGGATTTGAAGCCAAGCCACTGCCATTGTCACTACATGGCCACCTCCATAAAGCTTCATAAAGTTAAAAAGTTAACTGGGATTGGGGCACTTGGGTGGCTCAGTTGGTTGAATGTCCGACTTTGGCTCAGGTCGTGACCTCATACCTCTTGGGTTTGAGCCCAGCCTTGGGCTGTGTGCTGACAGCTCAGAGCCTGGAGCCTGCCTTGGATTCTGTGTCTCCCTCTCTCTCCGCTCCTCCCCAACTCACGCTCTGTCTCTTTCTCTATCTCTATCTCTCTCTCTCTCTCTCTCTCTCTCTCTCTCTCTCAAAAATGAATAAACATTTAAAAACTATTTTTTTAAGTTAACTGAGATAAAGCAGAGTCACCAGCAGTATAGTCTTTTTTTTATATATATATTTAATAGTTCCCTAAAATCTATAGCAATACAGCTACATTAAGTTACCCTGTAATAATAATCAGTGTCATATAAGAGAACATATTTCCTTTAACACATATTTAGTACAAAGCCATCTGGGCATTATGTTTTATTATTCTCAGTACAACAAAAAGAATATTTAAAAAAACAGAAATGCCATCTGCAAAGGCATACTTTACCAAAAAGAGATACACTTACCTTTCAGAAGTGCAACAGAGAGCTGATCAGTGTTCAGGTTATTGACGTATTTCCCCAGATAGGTATTGAGAACCCAGGCTACAAGACCTTCCAACATGACTATATCCTCAAGACAGGGTATTTAAAAATCATGGATCATTCTTTATTTCTCTCTCTCATGGTCATAGAAGAATCTATGAAGGAAACAAAAAAGGAAATCAACAGAAAAAAACAGATGATTTTCTGAGCTGATTTTCTACTCTGCCTTCCCTGAGGGTGGACGAATGCAAAGCCCAGATTTAAGAAAAAAAGGGGTGACGAGCACTGCAAGATGCCCTGTTGGCAGAGGATCAAACCAAGGAACAGTCACAAATTTACCAAAAAACACCTAGAACTCCAAGTTGTCTATCTTTTCCATGCAACTGATCATTAAACTGCTTGCCTTTAGGAATTCACCTTGGAAGTAGACTGTCCTGGTCAGCGATTCTCGTCCAAATGCAATTAGGCAACGTCTAGAGACATTTTTGATTACCGTGACGGGGCGCTGCAGTTGGGATCTTGTGAGTAGAGACCAGGGAAGCAGCTAAACATCCTACAACGCACAAGACAGCTCCCCCACAGCAAACAATTATCCAGCCTGATGTCAACAGTGCTGAGGCTGAAGAACCTTGTCCTAGATGAAGGCAAAAAATGCCCTGAGAGATTTCAATGAACTTCACATTTGGCAGCAATCCTCTGTAAGCCTTCCCTAATTCCATGTTGCAAATGTGTTCATCAGGATCATTCATAAAACAACATAAATGACAGGGAGAAGGCAGTGGTTTCTCGCTATTCTTAAATGTCCTGGAACTGCACTACAGGTACCCAGACAGAACCCTGGGTTGCTGATACAATGAACTATCTTAGCAACACAAACACAAGAAATCCTCTGGTTCCAGCTACCGTATTTAGTATAGTCCTGAGCTGCTACTGCCCATGATAATAACCGTGTTTATTAGTATTACAAAAAAATATATAGGTTACTTTTAGTACGACTAAAAGTTAACATGATGGAACTTGAGACATAAAAGGTTTAACTTTTTTTAATGTTTACTCATTTTTGAGAGAGAGAGAAAGAGAGACAGACAGAGAGAAAGAGCAGGGGAGGGGCAGAGAGAAAGGGAGACACAGAATCCAAAGCAGGCTCCGGGCTCTGAGCTGTCAGCATAGAGCCCAATGAGGGGCTCAAACTCACGAATCCTGAGATCATGACCTGAGCCAAAGTGTGAAACTTAACTGACTAAGCCACCCAGGCGCCCCAAGATATAAACGTTTAAATGGGCTCCGAAATCACCCAGCTAGTAGATCCCAATTAGAACTGCGAGTTCCAAATCTTGCTCTGAGCCAAGCACATCAGATACCAGCCCACCATGCTGGACACTCCAGGTTTGCTACGACATGTGTCCTGCTTGGAACCAGCCCTTTCAGGATCCTTTCCAGGCACTCTGCCCCACCCCCCGGTGATTCATCTTAGTGCCAAAAGATACGCTTATCCCAAATGAAAGGCCACCACCCGACAAAATCCCAACACACAAGGCCCCGTAAGAGTTAACTCAACCTCCAGGAAAGACTGAACTTATTTGTCAACAGTGTCTTGCTCTTCCAGCAAGATTAATTTCTATTTGCCATCAACGACAGTGACAATAAATCAGAAGCTAAAGAGCATCTGATGAAATGCTAGTTTCTTTCCAGAGATTTTTTTAAGCCATATTTTGGGTAAAACTAAGAATTTGCTAGAGATCACTGGATACCTGTATTTAAAGAAGAGGTTACAAGAACAAATTCTTTAAAGTAAGAAATGTTTACCAGTCTGGTAAAGAAAAACAAAAAAACAAAAAACAAAAAAACAAAAAACAAAAAAAACATTTATTTATTATATCTTTAAACAAGTGAATCTGTGAAAACAAAATGTGAACCTGACTAATCTAGCCTTACTATGCAGACTCCAACAGGCAAGGTGCCAAAATGAGTACTCTTTATTTCTGAAGTTACTGCCACTGACCCCTAAAATGCTAACAAACTCTCTCAAGTGCCAAATACAAATGCTCTCCCAGCAGAGGGAATCAGGCCCTACTCTACCCCCCGCCGCCCGCCGCCCCCCGCCCCCCGCAAGGTGGGAAAATGCAAAACACGGATTACCAAAAAGATGGGGCGAGAAGCATCGTAAACGCCCTGGTCAGTAAATTAAGACTCAAGCCAGAAAGCATCTATCAGCTCTGCTAAGCATCTAGACCAGGCTGGAAGCCACTTCAAGGATTTCCTTAAGGAATCCGGTGTCGGGAAGGGCCGCCAGACTGGCTAGAATCCCAAAGTGTTTACACGCTCGGGTCGGGTCCACCAGGGCTTCCAGGCAGCCGCCCGGCACTAACTCCCACCTGACCTCCCCTAATCGGTGAGGCAGGTGCCACCGGGGATCAGGGCTCAGCCCAAAGGCGGACAGACAGCCGGGAGTGACCTTGAGCCAGGCCCCTCCCTCGAGGGGCGGCCAAAGCCGGGAGTAGGACTGGCAAAGGGACCAGGACGCTCCTCACCAGCCGGCCGGGCCTGAGTGCCACGGACGCCGGGGTGCTATGAGAAAGAAGACAAGAGGGGGCAGCTGCCAGGCCCCGGGGCCCCCAGGAATGGGGCTGCCCGTGAAGGCGAGGGGCCCATAGCCCTTCTTCCACCCCGTGGGCTCCAGAAGACAGAGACCCCACCTCCCAGATAAAGCGCGGAGGCGACGGCGCCCACAGCCTGGGGTCCCGCCCCTGGGAGGAGGGATTCAGCCCGGGTGTGACCCCGGGGAGCGGGGGTAAAGACTGGCTAGAGGCCTGACGTCCCCATCCCAGAGCGCGACCCCAGAAGGCTGGTGGGTGGCCAAAACACTCTGGAGAACTGACCCGCGCCCCGTTCCCGGGCGTGAGGTACGGGGGCCCGCGCACGGGGGTCCCGCATGGGGACCGCCGCTCAGGCGGAGAGACGCGGGCTGACACCGCCCCCAATCCCAGGGCACCAGGCTACTGGGACCCCGGGAAGGGTGCCGGGTCCGGCGGGGGCTCGGACTCCCAGGACGAGGACGCCGGGGTCCCGGGAAGCTCGGGCAGCCCCAAGCCCGTCTGACCCTGGGGTGCCCGCGGTGGCTGGGACGCAGGTGTCCCCGAGAAGGCGGCGGGCTCGGGGCCGTCGGGAGCGCGGACGCCCCAGGGCCCCCGGAGGAGCTCAGGCGGCGGGAGGGCCGGACGCCGGGCTCCCCGGGCTCCCAGCGACGCGCTCCCCGCGGGCGGGCCCCGGCCCCAGGTCCGAAGCTGAGCCGGGGCGGCCGACAGCGGGCCCACGCCCGCCTGCAGTCCCGGGCCCTGCCCGCCGCCCCCCGCCCCCCGCCCCGGCCAGTACCTGTCGGTGTCCCGGGCCGCCAGGCCAGCCCGGCGCTGCGCGGCTCTTCCTCTCCCGGCTCCTCAATGGCGCTGGCCGGCGGCGCTCCGGCCCGCCCCGACCCGACCAATCGAGCGGGCGACGCGACGGCGCCTGGCCAGCCGAGCGCCGAGTCATCGAGGAGGCGCCCCCTGGCGCCGGGGCGGCCGCTGGCGGATGGGCTGCTGGAGCTGGAGAAGGGCCCAATGAGCCCCGTCTTACAAGGGGGAAACTGAGTCCCAGGGGAGGACACGGCCACCAATTCGTCCGGCTGCGACAGTGTGGGAACGCAGGATTCTTCCTCCTACAACGCCCTGCCTTCCATCTGGCCCATCCACAGCGGGTGCTCCACTCAGCAGCCACAGGGGTCTGCTAAAACATAATTCAGACTAAGCCACTTCCTTGCTTAAAACGGCTCCCCCCCTTATACTTGAATTAAAATCGAACTCCTGGGGCTCCTGGATGGCTCAGTTGGTTAAGCATCCGGCTTCTGCTCAGGTCGTGATCTCCCGGTTCATGGGTTCCCCACTTCGGGCTCCAGTCTGACAGCTGGGAGGCTGGAATTCTGTGTCTCCCTCTTTCTCTGCCCCTCTGGGCTGGCGCGCTCTCTTCGTCTCAAAAATAAATAAACATTAAAAAAAAGTTTGTTTGTTTGTTTGTTTGTTTAATAAAATCCATCCCCTTACAGAGCCAACACCAAGCTCCTACTGGATTTGGTCCATTCCTATTTCTGCCACTCTTTCCCTGGCTCACTCAGACCCCGGCAGCGTTCAGTTCCTGCCTCTGGACCTTTGCATTTGCGATTCTCTCTACTTAGGATGCTTCTCCCTTAGATCCATGCTGTCCAGTAGAAATATTATGCAAGCCACACATACAAGCCACGTCACAATTTTTCTAATTTACTAGTTGGTACATTTTTTAAAAAGGAAAAAGTGAAAATAATAATGTATTTCATTTGATTCAATATGTCCAAAATATGATCATCTCAGCCTGTAGCCAACAGAAAAGTGAATTAATGAGATACTTTATGGATTTTGTATAGTAAGTCTTTGAAATTTGGTGTGTGTTTCACACTTCCGGCACATCTCAATACAAACCAGCCACAGTTCAAGTGCTCGATAACTTTATGTGGCTGATGATTACAGAACAACTTTGGATAGTCCTAGAGCCAGTTCCTTCTTGCTTCAAACATTACACCTCAGAGAGGATTTTTCCCAGCTGCCCTATCTAAAGTTCCCTTCAACCATTACCCTGTTGTACTTTCTTCATAGAACTTAATGCTATTTGCAATTACCGTATTTGTCTATCTTTTGGTTGTTACCTTTCTTCACCCTAAAAGTTCCCCCCAAAACAGTGATTTTTATCTTTTTCACAGATGCCTGTGCAGCACCTAGACTTTGCCTTGCACAGAAAAGACTCATTTAAAGATGCTGTAAACGGGGGCGCCTGGATGGCTCAGTTAGTTAAGCATCAACTGCTTGGGACATGATCTCGTGGTTTACGAGTTTGAGCCCTTCATGGAGGTCTGTACTGACAGTGCTGAGCCTGCCTGGGATTCTCTCTCTCTCTCTCTCTCTCTCTCTCTCTCTCTCTCTCCGCCCTTCCCCTGCACACACGTGCATACTCTATCTCTCTCTCAAAATAAATAAATAAACTTTAAAAAAATAAGTAAAAGTGCTACAAGTGAAA